ACTCGAGGTCTGCGAACCACGCGAGCATCGCGCTGAGGGAAATCCCCGATCCCCTGCTCCGGGTCTGCGAGTCATTGGTCGAATGGCAACCCATGACCTGCGGATGGGGAGGGGGGGAGGGGGCAACCAGCCGCCGTCTGGCGGCTTAGGGGAGCCGATAGTGCTAGAGAGCTCCCGGCCATCCAGCGGCCTCAGGCGGTGAGCACGTGTGGTGATGTCATTGCGGTCGACAGCTCTGGCGTTTGTATTTCGTGCAGCTGGCACGAAACTCCAAAAGGAACAAATACATTTAGTTTATTTGTGGTGCGGTTAGAAGAATTTAAAATGTTATCATGCGTTTTAGCACATACGAACCACGGACTGTGCGTCCCTGGAATGATTATGGGTAAGTACTCCTTGTGTAAGGAGTGTGGCAGGATTTTGTTCAGGAATTGTGAAACTTTCAGGTTTAGAATCATCCGGTCATTATGCAGACTTCATGCATTTTCTTGCACGTCGGATTAAATAATTTTGTGTTGTTTTCAATACAGACTCAATGTCACAGAAAGCATGACATTTCAGTTTGAGTCACGCTGACGCCTCTAGTGTGCAAAGGGAGACGCAACGAATGCTCCGTAGCTCCAAATGGAGGAAACGCGGCTTTTAAAATGTCACAATTGATTGCATGGCATTGTTGGTCAGACCACATGGCCAGCTGTACCTCAAAAATGCATTGCTGTTACAAAAGGCAATGCATTGTATGAACATTGCAACGCCAGAAACTGAAGCAGTCTTTCGACATGTTGTCTTACCCCATCTGGCTTATCTGGCTGGCCTCTCTTCGTTCAGTGAAGACCTTGTTTGACCTGCTGGTCTGGGTCCTCCCGTACGTTTTGTCCTGTGTATTGTTATACTGCGTGCTATATGTGCTGTCGATGTGTATACTAGGTTATGCTGTATATATTGTGCATTTCCCCCGTGTGATCGGTGTGGTCAGTACGTGGCCATGCCGAGCTGTTGTCCTGCCTGTTACCCCGTGGTCGGCACGTGGCCATGCCGAGCTGCTGTCCTGCCTGTGACCCCGTGTGGTCGGCACGTGGCCATGCTGAGCTGCCGTCCTGCCTGTGACCCGTGTGGTCGGCACGTGGCCATGCCGAGCTGCTGTCCTGCCTGTGACCCGTGTGGTCGGCACGTGGCCATGCCGAGCTGCTGTCCTGCCTGTTACCCGTGTGGTCGGCACGTGGCCATGCCGAGCTGCTGTCCTGCCTGTGACCCGTGTGGTCGGCACGTGGCCATGCCGAGCTGCTGTCCTGCCTGTGACCCGTGTGGTCGGCACGTGGCCATGCCGAGCTGCTGTCCTGCCTGTTACCGTGTGGTCGGCACGTGGCCATGCGAGCTGCTGTCCTGCCTGTGACCCCGTGTGGTCGGCACGTGGCCATGCCGAGCTGCTGTCCTGCCTGTGACCCGTATGGTCGGCACGTGGCCATGCCGAGCTGCTGTCCTGCCTGTGACCCGTTGGTCGGCACGTGGCCATGCCGAGCTGCCGTCCTGCCTGTGCGCACCCCGACTGGCCGGTCCTGTCAGTACGTCCACTGCCTACCCTGATACTGACCCCACCACACCTGACCGGTCGGTGCGGCTACAGTCTGAGCCTTCCGGTTCCTTCCGAAACAGTCCACATCCAATTCCTTACCCGTCTGTTGATAGGATCTATCCGGTCCTGTGCTCGCTTGCTCCGGTCCCCTGCCTGTCTGTTGATGGGATCTATCCGGTACTGCGCTCGCTTGCTCCGGTCCGCTGCATGGTCCATGCAGTCAAGTGTATCAACTATCTGGCCCCTTTCATTCTGTGTGTTCCCCACCCTCCTGTCCGACCTTTCCGCGCGGGCCGCCTCACCGCTCCGACCAGTGTGTGTGCGTCTTCTCTGTTCGAAAGGCCCGCTCCCTTTCTGGGCGGAGTCGACCTCTCAGGCCTGAATCGACCCCTACCAGGCCTGCACGTGCCCCTGCCTGACCGCCTGATCCCTCCTGACCCGCCCAGACCATGGCCTGCTATGGCCGGCCCCTCAGGCCTGAGTCGACCCCCCCCCCCAGGCCTGCACGTGCCCCTGCCTGACCGCCTGATCCCTCCTGACCCGCCCAGACCACGGCCTGCTATGGCCGGCCCCTCAGGCCTGAGTCGACCCCCCCCCCCCCAGGCCTCACGTGCCCCTGCCTGACCGCCTGATCCCTCCTGACCCGCCCAGACCACGGCCTATTGTGGCCGACCCGACCGGTGTGGAATATTCCCTGGTTATGGGGCTGACATATTCTGTTGATATCGAAGGCCTTGAATTAAAACAGATCCCTTAGCGTGCGATCTGTTTTATGTCAATTGCAGGCGCACGAACTAAAAAATGCAAGGTTCTTAAAACGGGCCTCTCGCTCCCCCTTCTCCGTCCTATAAAGCCACCTTTGACTTCATACAGGTACTGAAATTGGAAGCATAAATGTCATCAAAGGTATCCTGGTGGTTTACCTAGGATAAACCACCAGGTTTTATGCTTTGTTTCAAGCGGTTCGTTAACTGAATTTGAAGTTAACAAATACACAGACATGCCATGAGCTGTTGCTGCACAACCCGAATGTGGAATGGTACGGGCACACGGCGCAGGAGCAGGATAACAAACAAAAACAACATATACAAGCGACCGGCGTTGTACTGTGTGGCATGCCATTTGTGTAGTTGATCATGGGCGAAGAAATAGGGAGCACGGACATTACCAAATTTTTGGTTAGTCTGACAGCGACCGTGGTGACGTTTACATGGTTGTACATAACACGACTCCATTACATTACGATTGGAAAAACGAATTTCCCGTAGGCTTGTTTGGACGTGCCTCATGCCCCTTCGCTCCTTCGTTGTACTGATCGTCTCTGATAAGGCTCTTGGTCTCATTGGGGTCCTTACACGTCTGTCGGTCATTTCGACCATCACAGTGATCATCACATCTTACCCATTATATTTTACCCAGATGATCACGTCATACCCTCGCTCATTAAGAATCAACCAGACACACAACGGCGACTCTCTTTCGGAGTCCTTGGTGTCATTCAGCAGAGCAGCGTATGCGCTTTGTCTCTAGCGGTTGGGGTGTGTGGGGTACGGCCCGAGTGGACTTCTGACACCACAACACCACGTGGTATGACGGCGATATCTCCTGTGGTTTTGCCTACTCATTCAACCTTGGGACTGTGCCAGGAGTGACGCCGCCGCGGCCCGGCCGGCTGCAGTGTGCATCCTGGCATTCGACGGTCTGTGGTGTCTGCAGTGTTGTAGCCGCGTGCATCGGTGTGCAAGAGAAGTGTGGGGCTGTACGGCAGCTGGCGGGTCGTGCGAATCCTCACTGCGCAGTTACTCCCTTTATTTTTACGTTTATTGTCAGTCATAGCATGCTTGTGAATACAACGTGTGTAGTAGTCAATAGTCGGAGTTACAGAAACAATTTAGGTTGTTCCGGTATCGGGAATAAGTGCGTGCTTTGTCTCCACTCTTCTTGCGCCCATGACTGGTCGTGGGTATTGATAGCTTCAATTGGGTATGGTAGCCCAGGGGCGACAGATAATCACCGGGATAACACAAATGCCGGTAGGTAAGGGTGCGAGTGTGGGGAAGGGGGCGTCCTCTGTCTTTGAGAAATTCTATCATTGCCGTGGGAAAAAAACGCAAAAAATCGCCCTTGTATTCCCCTCCTCCGCTCCCGGAGCCCTGCTAACGTCATGCGATGCTCATGTTTTTATGCTTAATGCGTCTGCTCATGCTGACTTTGTGGATACCATGTTTTCGGATGAGCGACAACGACGCGACACATTCAAACTGTGGCAGGATAATAATCACCTTTTGGGTACCCAAGGTCAAATAGATAAATACTTCTATACACTATAAACGTTAGTCGTTATTTGTCCGAGGCAAATGACAGCGCAAAAGACGAAATCTACATTTTTATATGCGGCAACGCTGTGACCTTACTTCGGTACGGCCCTAGGCCCGTCTGCACTCCTACTTTGCAACAGCTGTTGCCGGGCCGGGCGGTGACGTGGCGTGTCTGCAGACACCGGCCTCAGGACCGCCCCGCGCCTCTTCCAGCGGACACAGCCGGCTGCCGTGTCGGGCTGGCGGGCGTTCATGGCCTGCCTGGCCATCCCCGTGCGCATTGTGAAGGCTTTTGCTCCCGTCGGACGCGCCGCCGTCGCGCTGCTACGGGTGCTGATGGCCATATTGTATGCTAGCTATGCGATCGCGCTTTACACGGTTGATTGCATGGCGGCGTGGGTGGCCGAGTGCCGGGGAAATGCAGTCTGTGCGGAAGACAGAGAGGACAGGGAAGAGAATAACGAGGAGGAGGCCCGCCCTCCTGCGTGTGGATTCGGAGTGTTGAGTGAGTTGGCGACGGCGGACGGGTACACATGATTGTTGCGTTGGACAAGACCCGATTGGTATCGAAGCTCACCACCACGTGATATGGTAGCCGGAGGTGCGCCATGGTGGTGTGATAAATGGTCAGATTACTTGTGATTGGTGGTCAGATTACTTGGACCCGATTGGTATCGAAGCTCGCCACCATGTGATCTGGTAGCCGGAAGTGCGCCACGGTGGTGTGATTGATGGTCAGATTACTTGGACCCGATTGGTCTCGAAGCTCGCCACCATGTGATCTGGTAGACGGAGGTGTGCCATGGTGGCGTGATTAGTGGTCAGATTACTGCAGGCGAGTGTCGTTGCTCTACTGAAGTGATCCGGCTATCGCTAGCGACTACCAAAGTGGCGAACTTTATTTAACCAGTTGTGTCTAAGAAATGGTAAGGAACTCCGGCTTCCTCGATAGCTCTGAGCCAGCCGGTGCTAACGGTCGGTCGTTCTCCCGCGGCCAGGTCAACGGGGTCAGCAGCGGGCGTCTGGCGGTCTGAGCCAGAACTACCTGACGCCGTACGGGAGCGGACTGGGCTCGGGCGGCCGGCTCCCAGGTTGGCCAAAGCCCGTACATGTCTGCCGCCTACAACTACGGCGGTGGCGGCACCGGCCTGGCGGCGCCGCCTCTCAACCAGACCGCCTATTCGACCGGCTCGCAGCAGGTCAGTACGCCACGGGAGGGGTCAGGCACACATCAGGCTCGGGCCGGCTCGCAGCAGGTCAGTCCGGTCCGGGAGGGGTCAGGCACGCATCAGGCTCTGCCATCTCGCAGCAGGTCAGTCCGGTCCGGGAGGGGTCAGGCACTCATCTGGAGGGAAGCACAGGTCAGCCGTTACGGAAAGGGTCAGGGAGGGATCGGGATAGAGTCCGGGTTAACTGGGTCACAGGAGAGATCAGGGAGGGATCGGGGTAGAGTTCGAGTTAACCGGGTCACCGGAGAGGTCATGGAGGGATAGGGATAGAGCCCGGGTTAACAGGGTCACAGGAGAGATCAGGAAGGGATAGGGATAGAGCCCGGGTTAACTGGGTCACAGGAGAGATCAGGAAGGGATAGGGATAGAGCCCGGGTTAACTGGGTCACAGGGGGACCAGAAAGGGATCGGGGTTGAGTTCGAGCCTACTAGGCCGCGGAAGTGGTCAGGGAGAGATCGGGGTAGAGTCCGGGTTAACTAAGTCACGGGAGAGGTCAGTGAGGGATCAGGGTAGAGTCCGGGTCAGCTGGGTCACGAGAGGGGTCAGGGAGGGATCGGGAGAGCCCTGGTCAGCCGGGTCACGGGAGGAGTCAGTGGGAGTGAGGAAAGGAGAACAGATCAGGGAGGGATCGAGGGGGATCCAGGTCTGTCGAGTCAAGGGAGGGGGGACTCGGTGAGGGATCACGTCAGGTGTTGGTGGGGCGGGGGGGGGGGGGGGGGAGGGAAGCGGGCACAGGTCAGGCGGGAAGGGGGATTTCCGAGTGGGTTGGGTTTGGGTCAAGTCGGGAGCTTACGCCACACAGGTCACGGAAGGAGGTACAGAACCTCAGGCTGAGGGAGGATGCTCGGACTAGCTGGGTGGAGAGTAGCGAAAATAGTTCAGCCAGGTCAGACGATTCAAAGTGGTGACGGTGGAAAGTAATCATCGGGTGAATCAGAAGGTCAGAGGGGTCGGAGCTTGACATCCTCTTCTGAGGGGAGGGGGTGGCATGGGAAGTGTTCAGAGGTCGGCGCTCAGAGGTTGGGGAGTTCATGCGGTCGTGGTAGTCCATGTGATCATGGATCCAGTGTCAATACAGGCGAACGTTTTACTGTCCACAGCGCACCGTCTCAGTCTCCAATTAGTCGCTTCTGACCTTAACCGCAATTCCCCCCCCCCCCCCCCCCGGCAAACCAGCACATAACCTCTTCAAACTGACAGCCGTGATGGTAGAGAGCTTACCATATCACAATTCACAACGTCGTGATGTTGCGGTACATCTTGAGGCATGTCCCATATCACAATTCACAACGTCGTGATGTTGCGGTACATCTTGAGGGATGTCCCATGGCGCAGCGCCTCGCCGTCCACGAGCCCATCAAGTGGCCCGCAAGTCTATATGCGGCGTGTCTCTATATGGGCCAACCCTTCAGCTTCCTGCTGTGAGTGCAGCGGTCGACCCAGCCGCCTGCGAACCCAAGCCAGCAGCGGGACTGACCCAGCTGCGCCGCCTGCGAACCCAGGCCGGTGGCGGTGCTGACCCAGCTGCGCCGCCTGTGAACCCAGGCCGGTGGCGGGGATGAGCCAGCTGCGCCGCATGCAAACCCAGGCCGATGGTGGTGCTGACCCAGCTGTGCCGCCTGCGAACCCAGGCCAGTGGCGGGACTGACCCAACCGTGCCGCCTGCGAACCCAGGCCGGTGGCGGTGCTGAGCCAGCTGCGCCGCCTGCGAACCTAGGCCGACGGCAGAACTGACACAGCTGCGCCGCCATGACCTCGCGCTGACCTCAAACCCGTCCGTCGCCAGGTCGCCGCCGACTACGGCAGCTACGGGGCATACTCGCCGCAGGCTTTCTACTACGGGGCCAGCGGGTTCGGCTCGTACATGTCCCCGGTAACGGCTGGCGGCAGCCACACGCTCTCGGGTAGCTGTACTCCGAGCTCAACGCAGACGTACCACCTGTCGCCGCTGCCGCCCGTCTCGACGCCCGAGGGTAGGTGTCTCCGCGCTCGACGCAGACGTACCACCTGTCGCCGCTGCCGCCCGTCTCGACGCCCGAGGGTAGGCATCTCCGCGCTCCGGCACCCCACCCTGAGCTCGACGCAGACGTGCCACCTGTTGCTCCGGCACCCCACTCCGAGCTCGACGCAGGTGCACCACCTGTCGCTCCGGCACCCCACTCCGAGCTCGACGCAGGTGCACCACCTGTCGCTCCGGCACCCCACTCCGAGCTCGACGCAGGTGCACCACCTGTCTTTTCGGCACCCCACTCCGAGCTCGACGCAGGTGCACCACCTGTCGCTCCGGCACCCCACTCCGAGCTCGACGCAGGTGCACCACCTGTCGCTCCGGCACCCCACTCCGAGCTCGACGCAGGTGCACCACCTGTCGCTCCGGCACCCCACTCCGAGCTCGACGCAGGTGCACCACCTGTCGCTCCGGCACCCCACTCCGAGCTCGACGCAGGTGCACCACCTGTCGCTCCGGTACCCCACTCCGAGCTCGACGCAGGTGCGCCACCTGTTGCTCCGGCACCCCACTCCGAGCTCGACGCAGGTGCGCCACCTGTTGCTCCGGCACCCCACTCCGAGCTCGACGCAGGTGCACCACCTGTTGATTCCCGGCATCCCACTCCGAGCTCGACGCAGGTGCACCACCTGTTGCTCCGGCACCCCACTCCGAGCTCGACGCAGGTGCACCACCTGTTGCTCCGGCACCCCACGCCGAGCTCGACGCAGGTGCACCACCTGTTGCTCCGGCACCCCACTCCGAGCTTGACGCAGGTGCACCACCTGTTTGCTCCGGCACCCACTCCGAGCTCGACGCAGGTGCACCACCTGTTGCTCCGGCACCCCACTCCGAGCTCGACGCAGGTGCACCACCTGTCGCTCCGGCACCCCCACTCCGAGCTCGACGCAGGTGCGCCACCTGTCGCTCCGGCACCCCGCGCACTTGCGCGTACAGACTCGCCTTCCATGGCCACCCGCAGGTCGGACGGCTGAGCTCCGTCGGTACCCCGCTGGATGGGTCAACCAGAGCAGACCCCATCTCTCATTCAGACAGGGATGGTTCACTGTTGTTTCCAGTAGTTCACTGTCGCCTCGTTCGAATGAGTGCTCCATGGCCGTGTTTAGTGTACCACGCACATGCGCCAGTGAGGCTCCTGACCGCGAGTTCAGATTTAACACGAACTTTCTCGGTGCAAGCAATGGTTGCATGGTAATGTCGCCCAACCAGAACTTTCTAGTGTATTGAAGGTCGTTTACCTCCGTCATAAGAGCTCACAACTTTGTAAATGTAATGAAAAAAGATCAAAACGGCACTTATTTAAATGCATCACATTGAAGCGCATGCTTGGCGCGCAGCAACGGCTTGGAAGAAGCTCGTTTTCCTTTTAACCTTTAAATGGCAATGACTTATCAATAAGATTGTTTCCAAAGGTGCATGATGCGGCATTCTTGCTGCAATGGTCCCATCCAGTCACTTTTGCTCTTGGTCATCATTCTTTTGTATCACCAATCACTAATCATGGAATAGATTACGTCGCTTTACGGAAATGTGCGAGGTCAGATTAGAAAAGATGGCAGTTGGTGAAAGCGGCCTTGGAAGTAATCGTGAACGTCTTTCAGGATCCGAGTTCTCTGAGGCTGGAACATTCCTGTACCACTCGCCAACGCTGGGCACCGGCCGGCGGAGACGCAACAGTAACGGAAGTGAGTCGCTTCCGGTCCGACTGGCATCACGTGAACGGCCGGCATGTCACGCGGCCGGCAGTTGTCAGACCACCTGTCTGTTTTGGCTGTGTTTAAACAGCCGCCTTCCACTTGCAAGCTAGCGCCGAACTCCTTGGCGACGCAGTGTGGTGGGAGCAGGAGTGCGCGGGCTGTTCCGCTGCTGCCAGCCGGTTAAGGGGAGCTGCGTGGGACGCAGTGGCGGCCATCAACGCACTGGGGCTACGCCAGCTGTTTATGCTGCTTATTGGGTGGACTAGGGCTGGAAAGTAATGGGTTATCATACAGTTATCAGAAGTCTGGCGGAAGGGTGGCGTTCCATACGTTAGCTATTTTTTATGGGGAGTGGTGATGGATACGACCTTCAAGCGTGTTAATACCCACCCCGTATTTGCCCTCGAGTAGGCATCATTTTTCGAACATTATGATTGGACGGCCTTCCTGCATCAAGGTTCTCGCCAAATATCGCTTGTTGCGTGAACCTTGAACCCGCCACCCGGTCGTGCAATTCCGGTGCATAATTTTGTGGCGAAGTTTAGCGTACCGTAACGCGCGCCACTGTTCGCTCCGACACCTGAGCCCCATCTGCCGCCACTGCTTGCCCGCCCCCTGACCTCATTGAACGCCATTGTACGCCCCGCCCCTTGACCTCATCTGACACCACTGTCCGCCCCGCCCTCTGACCTCATCTGGCACCACTGTCCGCCCCGCCCTCTGACTTCATCTCACGCCAGTGTCCGCCCCACCCCCTGACCCAATGCGCACGGCTGTCCGCCCCGCCCACCGACCTTATCTGACCTTGCTCGGCCACTGCCACCGGCTGTAGGTCATCTTAACGAGGACCAAGTAGCGAGGAGCGCAAAAGCGACTGGAACTAACCCTTCCGGCTATGGCTAGGCTGGAAGACAGACGCTCTAACTGATTGAGCGACGGGGGCAAACTCTTGCAGCGTGACATCCCGCCGCAGCGAATGGTTTCAATTTGCGGTTTTCGAACTATTATCAGGACAGGGACAGGTGGCTCAGATAACCCTATATTGTAGCTCATAAAGGATGTGTCGCCGTCGATATTGTGCTTTATTTTTAGTATCTGCTGGTTTTCGAAGTTCTGGCCTGAACCCCTGCAGTATCCAGCCAGAGCAAAAACATTTTCCGATAAGTTCTTAGGTGACATATCGCATTTAAGCATGTGAATATGTTCCTGAAAATATGTTTGCATAAGTTGTGATTCGAAACCACGAGCATGTTTTTTGTTGCAAGAAATTTTGTCAGTTCCAACGTTCTTGGCCAGGGAGGAGCTGATTGAAACCACCTAAAACCGTGCAGATTCCCATTCAAATTGAAGAAAGCTTTGAACATACTTTAGAGCTGCGTTACCGAATGGTTTGGTATGGGCGTGACCTGACCTGACCCGTCTCGTGTCTGGCTGACACACAGACGGCAGCACCGGCCGACGACGTCGGCGCGGCGAGCCGTCACCCGACGACGAACTGGCGCAGAAGATCGACCGCATCTTCATCTGGGACCTAGACGAGACCATCATCGTGTTCCACTCGCTGCTGACCGGGCAGTACGCTCGCGAGAACGGCAAGGTCAGTCAGCAACAGCGTGCTATCGCGCCTAGATGGCGAGTCACGGTACACTAACATTGGCGCAGCTGGGATAGGTTACTTAGCAATCCTCAGTTTTCTCGGGCGCTTGAGTTATTTGGTGCCCACTGCTCTACCTGAGGCGGGCTTCAGTGCGTCCGAGGCCCCGACACAGTGCAGCAGTCCTTCTCTCCAGTAGCACAGGCTGGGCTAGTGATCCTGACCGCTCCTGAATGACCCTGATCATTTCTCACCGATCTCGACCGGTCTCAGCAAGTTACGGGCTACCAAGGCCGTGATCAGTGACCCTGACTGCCTCTGTGACACAGACATTATCAGCGACCTTGACCGTGTCTTTGTGATACGGACACTTTCAGTGACTTTGGCAGCAGTGCCTTTGTGGCACTGACACTATCAATGGCCCTTACAGTACCTTTGTGACTCGGACATAATCAGTGACCCGGATAGTGCATATAGGGCACTGCCAGGGTCACTATCAGAGAGGCTGGTGCTGCAGCTGAGCCGTGCCAGCCGCTCCCAGCCCCGCGGCCCCCGTCAGTGCCTGGACCGCCAAGATACTTTATATCCGTCGGCTCGTATGATGTTGTGAAGACGTCAGCGAGCAGAAGCAGGCCTCGCCCACGGATCGGCCCCGCTGGCTCTCGTCTCCGGCCGCCGTTGATGACATCGATCCATTACGGAGGGCGTGGGACGGAGGGGTCGTTACCGTCATTTGACACATTAGGTTGATTTTGAGAGGCGTCAGTTACAGCTGAGTGTTAGAAAATCAGCGCATTAATGTCCGAAGTACTAAAGACGCGTTTTAAACATCACTTATTCAAATGTTAATGCCTTGTGAAGCTCACCTTGGACTGGAAGTAGTACTTCATTTCGCTGTCTCACCCATACACAGACGTTTTTGGAGGGATGATGTGATCGGAAGCATGGTGTCGGGGATCTAATGAGCACTCGACTGGGTGAAAGGGATTTCGATAGATCGCACTCCTTACCAGAGACATCAGAGCGTTCCTTTTCCGGTCTCTCAACCAAAGATCTTTTCTCCGTTTACGACACGCGATATCTGCCACCCCGCGTCCCGGGCCCGCTTGGTGACAACCGCAGGCCTCCTCGGCGGCGGGGGCTGGCCGTCGACGCCGCCGACGCGCGCGCGCGCGGATGCTGCTGTCGCCGCCGTCGGCGCGGTATGCCGTCCTATTTGTGCGCCATTATTCTGGCTGCCGCGCCGCGCGTTGTTGCGCCGAGTGGGCCGGCTCGTTCGTCGATCACGGCGACGCTCGCGACGCACCAGAATGCGGCGTGAACGGCGCAGTTGGCGGCGCTGGCGGCATTCTGGCGGCGCGCGCGCCGTGCGCGGCGGCGGCGGGGTAACAGCGCTGCCCTGTGTCCGGCCGGGCGCGGCGCGTCCCCTGCCATCAGCGATCTTGTCACGCGTCCCAGGCCGATGGATAGCCCGGCTGTGGAGGCTGTTGGCCCGAGCGAACGGCGGCCGGGCCTGCGCTGTGGTGAGCCGCGCTTGTGCTACGCCATGCCTATCTGTGTTCTAAAATTATTGTCGTTCTGTAAAATTCAAATCTTGGCTCTCATAGAGTCATATAAAGGTCCAGCACAGCCTGCATTAACTTAATCATCAGTATGTAGAAAGATCTGCTGCAAGATAACGCACGCTTCCGGTGACAAAAGCATCTCGAACGAAACTGCTCGATTTCTGGTCACCCCTAACGGCTGCCTTGTCTTTAGTTTGCTCCATCCCCCACGACTAACTTTCTGAAACTTAGCGACACATCATATATATATTTATATTATATATATTTGTATTATATATATATATATATATATATATATATATATATATATATATATACATATATACATCATATATGTGTTTCAAACCTTGGTCTCGAACTGATCAGCAGTTCGCAGGTGCTGCGTCTTTAAGCCACCAGACACTTGGACGGTTCTAGTTCTCGCCGTAACGTTTGGGTTTGCCTTGTCAAATCGGTGGCAGGTGACCGTGCGTGTTGTGTTGTTGCCGCTGGCTGTGGCCTTGCGGTGGTGAGCCGTCGGTCGGACCATCATAGCACGCCGTCCTGTGCGCCGAGCACGCCTCCCGTGGCGGCGTGACGTGCGCTTGACACGTGTTGTTGTTGGATGAGAGGGCCTAACAGGAGCGGGGCGTGCCCACCGGAGCGCCGCGCGCGCTCTCAGTGGCCGAGTCCGCCGTCGAACGTGTCGGAAGGACGCCGGCACTGCCTGCCGGAAGTGGTCGCTGCCAGGGCCGCGCCACGGAGCACATGTCACGCGGTGGAGGTGGAGAAACCAGTGGGGTGGGGTTGGGGTGGGGGGGGGGGGGGGGGGTGGGGGAAACATGGGTCTCACTTATTGTGGCTTAAACATTCGTTGGGTTATGACCTCCCTCTACATCTATGTTTTCAATGTCACTTTTGCAGCGTGTCCATTATTCGGGATTTCGGGTTTTATAGAATGCTGTGGGCTGGGCAAACCAATTTTATTAACGTATGGACTATCGAAGTTTCTTTGTAAGGGCTGTGCGATCCGACTGCGCCATTGATGCCTGTTGCCTCGTCTCCCTCGGCGCTCTCCACACCCTGGTTGTGACTGTACGGCGGGCCGTTCTTGGTCGCCAAGGCCCGGCGTCAGTGGTCGCCGTACCAGCGTCACTTCGCACTCAAGGTGGCCTCTATCATCGAAGCCAGACCAGCGCCATTTGAACGTTGATATGAGTGGAAGAGTCGTCCCCTCCCCCCCCCCCCTCAGCCCGGCGCGGCGCCGCGTCCGTCGCCGCGCCGTCGGCCGCACAGCGAGGGGCGGGCCCCGACGGCGCGGTCCCGTCGGCCCCGACGCGCCGCGGGCGGCGCCGATCTGCGCCGCGTCATCGGCCGCGACAGCCTGTCATCGTGACGGCCGGCGTCGGCTCAAGGGCGGCGCAGCTTATCAAAGCCGGGCGCGGGCGGACGCCTGTGTTTTGTCTGGTGCACTTGGCGAACGCCCGACCTATGGCTTTCGGTTTGGCTTAAAGGGTTCGGGAGGAGAACAGGTTTGCTTCCTAGTGGGCAAAGATACTTACGGGCACCGTAATTAACGTTTCTGAATTTCGCCGGTTCTGTTGAAAAATATGGAGGGCATACCGTTGTGTTAACGCGTTAAGCTACAGCACGCCGAAATGCCTGCGAATCTGCGGGGGTAGGTGGTTTTGTGACATTTCAGACATCAGCCCGCATGCATTGCAAAGTCTTTAAACTCCAGGCCTTGACAGCAACTGTTTGGATCGGGCTGCAATGTTTGGTTATAGTTAGTGATAAGCTTTTGTTTAGAGTAGAGGTTGTGAGGATTCCTTGTTTGCCATGAGAAGTGGGAGTTTGCCAAGAGTTCGGCATGCACTGCGTTTTGTTTGTCTTGCAGTGAGTGTACCCCTTGAACCTTAATTTGATCTGACCCAATGGTCAGCATTCCGTGATCCATCGTCCGTTGGTGCTTAGGCTGCTCGCTTATGTTGCTCATGCTGCAGCCATCCATTTCTTCCAGACTGTAGCAGTCTGACCAGTTTTCCAGCGGACTGTTTTCCAGTCTGCTTTCGTATTTTGGGGCCTCTTCCCTTCCGGGCGGGGTTTTTATTGCATCCCTACAGATCCCAGCGCTGCGGCGCTCTTAAGGCTGCGACTCAGCGCACCTCCTCCCAGATTTGGGTGGCGCTGACCGCGGCCTGCGCGCGCCACCGCGCCGCCGGCTCCGATCACGCACCGCATTCCCGTGGCGATGGCCGGGAGGGCCGGCTGAACCGTACGCGCTGGTCCAGCTCGCTATGTCTGTGGCGGCAGATGAATGCGTTCTCACGCCGTCCAGCGCCTCCGATCTTAATTGTAGTGAGGCGCGCCCTGCCCAATCGCCCCGAATCTAAATTGGCCGTCTCACGCTGGCGGATCATTTTGCTGTGGCGGTGGTGCGGCGTCTGGGAGGAGACCGCCGGGCTGGGGGCTCCAGCCGAGTCTGGGAGGTGACCGCCGGGTTGGGGGCTCAAGCCGAGTCTGGGAGGAGACCGCCGGGCTGGGGGCTCCAGCCGAGTCTGGGAGGAAACCGCCGGGTTGGGAGATCCAGCAGAATCTGGGAGAAGGTTGGGGGGCTCCAGCCGAATCTGAGAGAAGGTTGGGGGGCTCCAGCCGAGTCTGGGAGGAGGCCGCCGGCTTGGGGGCTCTAGCCGAGTCCTATGAGCTCCAGCCGCCAGTGCCTGCTGGCTGGCGGTGGCGACTGATGACACACTGGCCGGAGCCGGCCTGGGCGGCCGGACTGACGGGCCCGGACGCGGGCGTAAACAGATCGTTAGTCGTCGTGCGTGCTGCCGGCCCGTCTGCGGCGGCGGGCTGCCGTCCGCCGCCCGCCGCCGGTCCGGTCCGCGCCACGCCGCCGGCCCATGGCTGCCCTCGCCACCGTGCCGCCGCGGCGCCGGCGGCGAGCTGGCGGCGTCACGCGGGGCTGCGGCCGGTGGCAGGGGGCGGCCGCTGCCCTGTTTCGGGAAACACGTGGCGTTGCCGGTGAGGCGGCGTGGCGCGGCCGGCCGGCGCCGTGTCGTGTGACGGCGCGGCTGTTTGAGTGACACTCGGAGCGGGACGGAGGCGGCGCCCAATTAAAGCGGTCGGCTCCAGTTACAACAACACGCGGCTAGAAATGCAGATTGGAGCCGACGGCCGGCCGCTGCCCGGTCAGCGCGCCGCGCCACTGCCGCAGCTGCCCGATCTCAATTGTGCCGGACGACGATGGCTGCCAGGTCAAAATGACGTTCCATTATGGGAACTGGACGACCCGAGTTGACCTACGGCGTGCTGGGAACCTGTGGGGTGTGCTGCCCCGCGCGGCGGCCGTCAGCATGCCCTTCTCTAGGGAATTCCCCCTCCCCGCTCCTTGGGAGAGTGCTCAGGTTTTCGGGAGATGGGAGCACGGGCAGAACCATATACTCTTGTACTTCGTCCTCACCTTTCCTGTGGGTTGTGTTTTCAACGTTGCCAGTGTAAATGTCTTTATCTCTGACCACGGCCTTATATTGACAAATTGCTTCCCTATCCGACACCACCGGTATCTTCCGTTGGCATCGTCTGCTGAAATAGCCGGCGTTCTTTGTGTGTCCTTGGCCTTAGCACCATGCTGCATCCTGTACCCGCGACCTATTACACTGCTCCCGCGCGGTGTACCCCCAGGGCTTGGCCTGGATGGCAACAAAAGGCTGCCTCGCCTCGGTAGCCGGCGGCGCTTCTGCAGCCGGCCTGTGTTGTGGCTTGTTTGTACAGATGGCTGGTATCAAGGAGCAGTCGGCCGATTTCCGACCCGGCAGCGGCTGCCAACCGGCTGCGCACTGGCGACATCTATTGATAAAATTTAGAAGCGTCGAATGACGCTGGTTTCGGCCGCCTACTAATCCTTCGTTGTGGATGGGTTAATGTAATGTGACATTTTCTGTGGCGGTAGGAGCTATTTGTTCTACCGAACATTGATATGGCAGCCTCTCAACTTGAAAAGACCCCAAAACGATTTACAAAGCAAGATCAGTTCTTCCGTGTTCCCGAAGAAAAGAAACGCGATACGTATTGGTGGATTTGCGGTAGCGTAACCTGAATCGAATCATACGTCACTATTAATTTTAGCTTGGGTATCATGCTGGGACAAAATCACAGCATGTAGTTACAATTAATCGTGTAAGGTCCTGAGCACATAAAGCCGTGCGGCTGCGAAAGGTGACATGACCTTTGTTTTCCAAGTTTAACATTCCCAACACCGAGCCTTCCTAGCATTCTAGGAAATTATTTACGTCAATCGATCACAAGGCACGTTGCAGCAGACAGTACGTATGATATGGCTGTGATCTGTTGCAGATTTATTAAGCGGCGCTGTTTTGTTTCGGCCACTCTGTGTTTGTTGAGTGGCACTGTGTTTGTTTCGGCCGCTCTGTGTTTGTGCTGGCGACAAACCCTGTCGAAGCTGGAGCTTTCTGACCCGGTCATTCATGCGTTTGATGTGTGGAGTGGTGCTATAAGCCGCACCATGTCTATTTATGTGCGGAAAACAGCGGCACTAGCTTCAAGTAATAGTTCTAGATCGAGCCATGCCAACAAATCTAGTAGGTGTCGTTCGGCTCCACGGACCAGACTTAAATCCTGCTCTCACATGTTGATCAATAAATCATGATTGCTCTTGCTTGGGCAGGCTTGTTTTTCACGTCACTCCTGATGGATATGAGTTTACACTCGCCTTGGACTGGATCGCATGGTATAACTATCTGAAGCTATCGTTATGCTCTCAACAGCTACTGACGAAGATGATCTCACTCTTTTTCAGGACCAGGCGATGTGCTCCCAAATAGGCAGCAATTTAGAGACTCTAGTATTCACCACTGGCGAAGAACTGTTCTTTCTCAAGGAGCTGGACGTTGATGTGAGTATTTATACGTTTCACGTTATAGAAAAGAACCGGTCTATGCCACTTCGTATTCTTGTCTTCCGGTTGTCGCGTTTATCACACTAAACTGGTCACGACGTTTTAGGGAAGTGGAGTTATAGACGAATGTTTTTGTATCATAAATACGCTAGAAGTGGCGACATGTCCTGGTTCTTGTGCTGTCGGCAACGCATTTTTTGCTTTCAACTACGCGCAAAATTTTGGCTTTAACGTGGACATGATAAAATACTAGCGCGCTGTGGAAGGGCCGAGCGGCAGCTCACCGTCATTACGGCAGTGCTGTTGGCTGCAGTGTGACAGCATCGGGGACCGACTGAAACGGTGACGAGGTTTCCAGTCGCTGTGCATTTGTTGCACTCTTAGCGCTGCGGTTCCAATTAAACTTTTAATGGGAAACAATTTTGTATTTCCAGCAATGCATGCAATACCTAACAATGAATTCATAAAAAAGTTTAAAAAATTAATTTGGTTCTTATCCGTGAATCATCCCTGAAAGTCAGCAAAACTTAAATTGCCAATAACATGCCAAGAAAATACAGATTTTGCAAAACTCCTGGATTTTGCACACCATTTGCCAACTAAATCACAGGTCATTTAGAACACTCCATGGCTTGTATGCTTATCTGATGGATAGAACTTCACAGGAAATTTCAAACAGCAAACACCTCCTGGATTGAATTTAAAGCATGATTCTGCACTGAATTTCCAATACATGTCTCTGAAATTCATAACAGCAAACCAATCCAATTTTCTGCAGCTGAGGCCTAATCGGGAAATTCTGTGACTTTATAACCTAATCATCCAAGCGATCCCAGCACAGTCTTGAAATAATCTCAGCAAAGGACGAAATCGGCGCGCAAGCTTAGTCGGTAGTTGTTTATAGAGCTCAGATGCACCAGATGATCTTCACTAACATGGCGTATGTACTAGCTCGTATTTGCTAGCCACGTTTGAATGGATTATCTCACGAACAGTACTTGGGATTGGAATCATTTATGGCGCACTCGTCTTTTAGTAACCACTACGCCTACCTTCTATTACCTGTTATATGGCAAGACCTTCAATCGCCCGCCCCAGTCTACTGGCTCAGATAATAGTTTTCGATAAAAGTCGGCAGTTTCAATCAGTGTTTGCTGATGAACAGCACGTGTATGAATACCTGCGTGCGAATCGCCAGATTGAGCGATTCTTTTGATGACCCTTATATTCAGGCTAGGCATATGTACCTGGAATTCATATATGGTCCCTTGATATGAGCCATGAAAAAGATAAAGAAGGTATGAATAGGTTTTAAGTTTTTTTTTAATGCTTCTTGTTTTAGCACCAATCGTATAAGGTTGGGGACATGTACCTGGATTGAAAAATAAAGTTGGCGGGCCCATGCGGGCTATTTTTTTGGGGGGGGAGGACAGTTGCCTTACAGGGCGGATGCAGGCTTCCAAATTTACAAGCGGGATGGGTGCAGGTATTCGGAATTAAGAAGTGTCAGCTTTAATTGACACGAGAGTACGGCCGAGGACCCCATTCATGAAACCCTACATTGATCTCATGCCGGCCATTAGCAACAGGGCTCACCTGAAATCTATGCAACATTACGTAAACGACCCGAGCCCATGTCTGCACTGGAACGTTGCAAACTCACGGGTCTGTCGCTTTTCCCGACGCTGCTGCCACCTATTACGTGAGCTTTATCTTTTAGCCATTAGATGGCAGTAAATTATCCGATGCGGGCCGCCGTCACGTGAAGCTGTTTCCAGTCGTCGGCCGCCGCTGTGGGGGCGCTGCAGAACTTGACCAGCGTGTGTTGTTTCAGAGTCAATATCCGACGCACGTGGCCAACATTGATGATCTCCGTGCGGAGGATAACAACCAAGACCTCAGGTAAGCATATGCGCGTCCGTTTCAGCGTCGGTCACCCAGCCCGTTTGCACAGTTATTTCAACGAACCGACCAGCCACCGCGGGTACAGGGAGTGGTCGTGTCTGATGCAGATTTCTAAGCTCTAAGATTCCATTTATCTCTGAGCATGTAGCCCTTTCTTGTCATTCTGACGAAATAGCCGAGTGTAGACGGCTTCTCGTGCAGCCTGTTGACTGTGTGATAAAGGACTGCCACCGCGCGGCAGTGTCCCTGGTTGCCGACATGTCCTAGCAGCTGTGTCCCCCGCGCGCTTATACCGCAGCGTCGCGTCAACATTAAAACGTCACATGGCTTCTCAGAATGGTAACGGCATTCAGATTTATGATTGCTTGCAGCTTTCCACCTCTGAGATCGACCTTGTATTCGAGCCGCAGTGTTCTCAGCTGAGTTCCGCATCTACGTTCGCACGACTTTCATGCAACAAGGCCAGCATCTCTGTCTGATCCACATTCCTGCGAGATATTCGGGAAGCAGGTGCGGTTAGCCTGTGCAGGCGTGTCGGCGGTATTCACAACGCAGCGCCACCCGTATAATACACGGCTTCCGTGTCTCGCGCCTGATTAATCCGCCCACTAAACCACAGGTGTGGCAGTGTGCCGACGAAATTTAGGCGGTTTGTGGTAGCTCCTGGTAGGAGAAACCCCGGGGCGGAGGGAGGGAGGGAGGGAGGGGCACCAGGGCCGACAAACTTTTTGATTATGTAATCAAAAGACTCGTACCAAATCTAAAAATCTGTTTATTTCCTCTATGATAGCGTTGTTTTGAGCGTAAAGAGAGCAGGACCGTAGCGCGGTGAAGAGCGGCTGCAGAGAGAGAGAGAGAGAGAGGGGGGGAGGGGATTAAGCCCCGTCCGAGGAGTTCTATGCATGTCGGCGAGCCACCGCCGACGGTCGGCAATGCCAAATGTGGCGCATACCTCAGAACGGGAAGCCAATCAATCACCTTGAAGCGATCTCCTCGGATATTGAGACGTGAATGACGTTGTCAACGAAGGACATAATGCCTGGCACGGAAAGTGATCTTTTCGGGTGCTGAGCAGTAGATAAAGCTGTGAACGAAGGATATGACTGAAGGCACGGAAGAGACCGCAAGGCACGGAAGAGACCAGGGTAGAGACTTTGTCTTAATCTTATTGTGTGTTGTAAGGGAAAACACGGTGCAGGTCCGTTGTCCGAATACGTCTTGCAGATACATCGTTTTAAGTAGGATTCGTGCAAGGACTAATCACACACATATTGGATTTATAACAATTACGGATTTTTTAACTAGAATTCATATTGCATACTTCCCATGAACAGTGTGCGTACCAAATGTATCAGGATGCATGAACACCTTGCGTATATTGACGGTCTTCGACCTGAAGTGACTCGTGATGAGCCAGCGCATGGACGGTAAATGGCCTGCACAGGCAATCAGTCCGGATGTGTTCAGCTCTTGTTATTGTTGTTAGTTAATTGACCTGCGCGCCTGACCTGTGGCTTCTCTGAGGGGCACAGCGACGGGAAGTATGGGCGGAGAGCACGGCACCCTTTAAAACCAAAGGTTAGGCTCCGGACAAAGTTAGAGATCAGCGTGATGCCTTCTTACCCAGCTCCCCCCCCCCCCCCCATAAGAAAGTTATGGCTGCGCACTGTCTTTTTCCGTCTACACGCATCCAGTTGATATCACTGCTCAGTAGCGTGGAGTCGGTTGTGACCGGCAAGGGCTGTGACAGACCCTACCCTCACAGGCCGAGTACGTTTTGGACGCCACTGTCGTGTGATGAGTATCTTGCAGTTTTTAACCTTGAGTAACATCACAAAAGCGTCTGCCTGAACAATGGAATGATTCTCTAGGCCGCCACGAAGGCGACTATGTTTTTTTAGTTTCGGTTTTCTGTCAGTTGGTAATCTGATTCGTTTCCAGCAGCTAGCGACAATAGCGGCCTTTCCCGACTACCCAACCCACGTCTCAACGGCGCACGGCTGCTCTAGTGCTGAATGGTAGTGTTGCATACGTTTTGGACCTCCTGCTGCACCAGTAAAGAACAGGGGATGGTTTGTGACACGCTGGTCACAGCAGTGCTCCATTCGCTGCGACTTTGGCCCATGCCAGCTCTGTGGGCTTCCTGCTGCTGCGTAAGCAGGCTTGATTTTGTTACCTCTATACTTCGTCCGCAGTGACTTCGTTCAGCTGGAACTGTTGAGTTTCCTGTTGCGTTGTGGGCTATTTTGCTTGCGTTTAAGCGCCTGTTGCAGTATGCCCATAGCCTGCCTGTTGCGATGTTTCTGTCCGCCGCGCCTTCGCATTGTTCAGATGCAGGCATTCCTCCATGCACAGTCGCATTCCCCCAAGTCTGATGAGAAGGCATCCTGTCACCTTCTGCAAGTTATTGCAGGCATTGCACCTTTGAACTCGACTGACCCCGTACCATGCCCTCCGCTGTCTAAAGAGAACATCGACTAACACAACCGAGTTGAACGAATCGCTGTCGCCACGCGGCGTCGTCTGGTGCGGCCGTGACGCTGCGGTTCCTGCGGCGCCCCAGCCGGCGAGCCGGGCTCTTAAACATCTGTTCTCTGCGCTCGTCGCCTAAGTGACATCGATACGCTGAACCTGGACACAGCTTAGGCTAAAGTGCGATGAATTTTCAATTTAATCTCCTTGAATGAAAAATATCTAAGCAGTTTTTTCTGGATATTGTTCTTACAGCACTCCAACTCCTTGAAACCTTGGCTCTCAATAAGCTGAGGTGAATGACGACTGCTCGTGGAACTCGGGGCACCCAGATTCAGGGCGTATGCGCGTTGAAATTAAAGCTTGTCACACTGCCACCTGTGCGCAGAACCTGCTGGACGTAACGCACATGTTTTGCACTTGGGTCGGTGGCGCTCTGAAGCCGCCTGAGCGCCGCCGACATGGGTCGCGGCTGCTTCGCAGCCAGTGAGCAGCCATGGTAGCGGCGCGCCTGCGAGAACTGGATGGTTTGACGCAGCTGTGCTGCGCAGCGAGCAGTCGCGCTGACCTGAACGTCTCGCTGGTCGGAGAGCATGTAGCGCACGCTCCGTAAGTGAGCCCTGTGGCTGACTCAGCAGACGGTGCTGGTATCTGCCCGCCGCTGGCCGAACGACCAGCCCGACCGTTTTAGGCCACGAGCAGAGTCATGATCACGATAGCCGTACCCGGCAGCTCCCGCGGTAGGCAACAGCATGGGTGCTGTGCAGCTGTGCGGCACGGCGGTGACTCAGCTGAAGTCCAGCGCGATGGCGCCGTTTTGAGAGGCACTCACGGTCGGCGTGGATCGACTGCCGATGCGCACTCCAGTCAATGGTCGCAGCTGAAGACGGTGGCTTTGGGCGCTGCAGCGGCTGCCATTCATAGCGCGCCTGTTGGTCGGATTGACCTGCCCCGGGCGTCCGATATGGAGCTCTGCCGGGCACTGTAGTGGCATTCCAGCTGTAGCCTGCATTATACATGTGCACTGCAGGCCCGTTCATGCAGCTCAAATCTGGCGCCGTCCGGTGTGTCTGGTGAATCGAGCGGCTGTGCGAACCGGCCGCTGCCGGCTGACTTTGCCTGATGCATGCATGTGCTCGGCTGATCGTTCGTCCAGACTTGTGCTGATGTCGGGTTTCCCGCTGTCTGAGAGCGCGTCGCAAGGTGTGACGACTGGACAGACCTCGGGCCCACATGCGTCGCAACATCCAGACCGGCCGCACGCGACACGGCTAGCACGGACCTGCCGCACACTGCACGGCTTACAGAGACTTGTCGCACATGAAACGGCCAGCAGAGAACTGCCGCACATGGCACGGCCTATAAACAACCCTCACAAGCGCTCTGCCCCCACACTAGAGCCTGACCTAACTGCCTTGTGTTCCAGCAACTACAATTTCCTGGCGGACGGGCTGGCCAGCACGCTGGGCGTGCCGACGGCACCCCTGGGCTATAGCTTGGCCAGGAACAACGTCAGCGCGGATATCGCGCGCAAGCTCGCCTTCCGACACCGGCGGGTCAAAGAGCTCTACAACATGTACAGGAACAACGTGGCAGGTGAGCCCCGGCAAGTGGGCGGGGCGGCGACATGTGACAGCGCCATGCCGGTGGTCGTCTCGATTCGCTGTTCGGTTTCGTGTACCGTCTGTTCCAGCGGAATGCTGGAGAATGCGCTGCACCGGGAATTCTTGCGACCACACTTATGTGCTGGGCATGTGGATAATACGTCTTGGAAGTAAATATGCCAGTCTGCTATGCTAGCGGTTTTATTCTAACATTTTTCAGGACTGGCCATCACAGGAATGGTTTAGGCAGAAGGAAGGATTTTCCAGGATTTGATCGGAAACCAATGCTAGGGACTTATCTGGTGAAAGGCTTGATCATTTGATAAATAAGCAACGCATTAAATGCACTTTGGCTACTCTGTTATTGGCCGTCATCATCTCTGCGCCTTTGTCACGCGCAGCGGTGTCACATGAGGCCATTAGACAAGTTCGGACTGACACGCAACTCTCCGCAGACGGCCCGAGTGACCACCCCCTCCCCTCGGTACGCTATGCTGACCCCAGTGCCACTACACCGATCCCAGTGCACTACGCTGACCCCAGTGCACTACGCTGATCCCAGTGCACTACACCGATCCCAGTGCACTACACCGATCTCAGTGCACTACGCTGACCCCAGTGCACTACACCGATCCCAGTGCACTACACCGATCCCAGTGCACTACGCTGACCCCAGTGCACTACGCTGACCCCAGTGCACTACGCTGACCCTAGTATTGAGATGTATTCATCGCTCAAGTCTCAGACAGCCTGGTGAAGTCGCTGTCGGTTCGAACGCCGCCAAAAAAGCGTTGAGTTCTCTACACGCACGCACGCACGTACGTACGCACATACGCACGCACACACACGCGCACGCACGCACGCACCACGTGCACGCATACGCACAAACACGCCTGTACGCACGCACGCACTCGCACCCGCACCCGCACCCTCACCCGCAGCCCACACAGAAAGGAACTGGGACCGTCTGAATGCTCCGCGTGACTCCAAAATTTCAGTTGTCAGCCATAGTGAGAAGTCAACACAAGGGCTATGCAGCAAGATTTCGCGTGCGAGGCGTGATCTTAGCTCGCTAGGTTCAGTTGTTCTCGATTATTGAAGAATGCAGGGTAATTATTTTAACAATACAGAAGTAAGGACCCACATGTGGCGAAAATATATAATCAAATACATTCCACTCAACCACACAAATGGTGCGTGGTTGAGCAGGTCAGCATGTGACCAGCGCCAGCGAGGTCCATACAGCTGTGCAGCCGATCTGTGGCTGTGGTCCGGGTCTGCCGATCTGTGGCTGAGGACAGGGCCTGCGGTCCCGGTCTGCCGATCTGTAGCCGCGGCCGGGTCTGTGGCCCGGGTCTGCTGATCTATGGCCGCGGCCGGGCCTGTGGTCCGCGTCTGCCGATCTGTGGCCCGGGTCTGCTGATCTGCCGGAGCTGCACCGCTCACAAGCGCGTCAGCAGGCGGCTCACGTACTCGGCCAGCCTTGGGCGCTGGTTCGCCGGCCGGCCGCCAGGCGGCGGGCAGCCGGCTGCGCGACCGTATCAGCTCCCAGGTGCCGGGCCTCTGCGGCCGCTGCATATCGGGTGGGAAAATGCCTCGGGACGGGTGATCGGGGGGGGGGGGGGGTGGGGGGGGGAGGGAGGCGTGCGAAGCCAGGCGTGGTGCCCGACGGTGGTGGTGCGGGCTCAGGGGTTCCGCCGCCTGGATCAGAGGTGCTCCCGGGCGTGAGTTCCGGGGTCAAGGGTTGGCTGAAGTTGAGGCCCGGTCTTTTTGATCACCGTGACTGGACCGGTATTTGTTTATTCGTCTTGTCTGCCTTCAGAGAAAGCAATACATCGCTTTTCAATGCTCACAATGGCGTCCTTCGCCTGGTCTCTTTTGATGAATGCTTTCCCACTTGGAGTTCATCTCCCCATCGCCCTCTAAAATTACGGTCAGTCTTTTCGACGTCCGTGCATAAATTTACTGGACCCGGTACTCAGTGTTTTAGGCGTTCCATCACGGTGCCTGATGCCACTCAATATCCTGGGTGGTCAATGGCCTCTGCATCGAGTGCTTCTGCCCTTTCCATTGGTGATCGGGTCAGGACCGTGGCTCCTGCCTGGACACCTCGTGAACTGCGGAGCGTTGCACGGCGTGACTGGCCACCTGACAATAGGTGTCCACCTGACAATGGGCTGCACTAGGTGACTGGTTACCTGCTAGTGGGCTGCGCTGGGTGACTGATCACCTGACAATGGGCTGCACTAGGTGACTGGTTACCTGCCAGTGGGCTGCACTGGGTGACTGGTCACCTGCCAATGGACTGCACTGGGTAACTAGTTACCTGCCAATGGGCTACACTGGGTGACTAGTTGCCTGCCAATGGGCTGCACTGGGTGAATAGTTACCTGCCAATGGGCTGCACTGGGTGACTGGTCACCTGCCGGTAGGCTGCACGTGCGGCGATGACCGGCGAGTGACCCTGGGTCTCGCTCCCACCCGCGCCGGTCGGCTCCAGCCGTTCATTGCTTCCTATCACCGCGAAAGAAAGGAACGCATTTGACGCCTGCAGTTGTTGTAGAAGAGATAGACGAACTGTGTGGCACGTGTTTAGCCAGAGCTGCTTGTTGTGGGGGACAATGCGGCTGGGGTAAAAATATAATATAGGCCACCTGTCGAAAATGGCGTGCGTTTTTACGCATCTATTAATTAGTCTATTAGCACCATTGCAGCTGCACCACGGCTCATGCAGTCTGCTATCTGGGTTGTTCTTAGTGTCAGATGTGTAGTTTTCAACAGTTGTCATTGAAAATGAGTACTGAATCAAGGCTATTGCGCTGTGCTACGGTACGAATCACGTAACTTCGTCATCTATTTAAGAAGAAACCACGCTCTACGTGCACAGCAGTCGTATATCCTTCTGTCGAGGTAGCTTTGCCCGCTCAGCTCGGTCGGTCCCGGCAGCCTTTGATGCTACCACGTTTGTCCAGGTATTTCTTCCATCGAGGTAGCTCAGGTGGGTTTGATATTTTGTCTTCCGATTCACCCACCCCTGGCGAGATGGGCTCGAGTAGCTCTAGGCTCTCTGTGTTTGCGGGGGGTGGGCCTGCGGCCGGTGACAGTAGCCGCGCTTAAGGTCAGGTGACGTCACAGGGCAGGATTGACTGTACTGAGCATTGTGTCATGTTAAGCTTTCACCGCAAAATTCTGCCGATGACCTGGGATTTCGTGACCGGATGGTGGCCTCTGGACTCTTGCAACAGGCACCGCTCGGCATCGTTGTTCATCCGAGAAAGCCGACCAGTGGAGATGTTCGGACCAAATCTTAAACATTTGAACAGAATAACTTGGTAACGTGTCGGTAAAAATACTTATTTTTCACGTTGGTGCCATAAATGACCTGTCCATTGCTGGCGTCTGAGAGATGGACAGCGTTGCGTCAGCTGATTTAGCAGAAAGTACGCGGTGGCATCAGCCCGAATTTTAAAACGCTATTTCGTACGGATGAGCCGAGCAGAACATGCCACTACCATTCAAGCTTCACCACTTTAATTCTTTGTTGCTTGAACTAGCCCAGTTTAAGGAAAAAAAACACAAGGCGAACTTCAAGCTACGACAGATTTGTGGTGGAGCCGACATGCCATGGACTGCGAATCAGCTGTTCTTGGTCGTTCGAATTCGTCATGCCGTAACCGGTTGCTCTGATCCGGTCTGTTCCTGCCAGCGGCCGGAGTGGACCACGTCCGGTCCCCCGGTCAGGGCCCGCCGGTCAGAGCCCGCTGGTCCGCGCGGTCAGAGCCCGCCGGTCCGCCGGTCCGCCGGTCATGGTCCGCAGGTCCGCCGGTCAGAGCCCGCCGGTCCGCCGGTCAGAGCCCACCGGTCAGGGCCCGCCAATCCCCCGGTCAGGGCCCCACGGGCAGCGTCCATAACGCCTGCTCCGCGGCGACCCCCCCGATCAGGGCCCCACGGGCAGCGTCCATAACGCCTGCTCCGCGGCGACCCCACGTCACCCTGAACCGAGTCCGGCCGGCGCCAGTGGGGGCTCGACCGGGGCATCTGCCACGGCCGGCGGCGGCTGGCGACCGATCCATATCACTGCAAGGTACGCCAGCATGATCCGGGACGCAGCCGGACCGTGCCAAGCGCCCTCCATTGTTGGATCATGCCAAGCGCCCTCCATCGTCCCGTCCGCAATGCGCGAATCGCACTGATCTCCGCCGACGCCATCCGATTACACGGGCGTTACGCCGCCGGGGCGCAGCTAGGCGCGTCCCATTCATGACTACGGCGCCGATCTGCGCGAGGTACATACGCCGACCGTGTGGCACGCCGGTCAGGGGCCGGCGCTGGCGAGTCAGACCCGGTCCCGAGAGAACTGGTCCGGGCTGGTCGTGGTCGGTCCGCCGATCTCCTGAGGCCGCTCGGGCAACACGCGCTTCCTCTGGTGACGGTGAGCCCCCCTCCCCCTTCTAAGACGCCGGTGATGCAAGCAGCGGGAAGGCCGTTGCACCTGGGGTTGTCACAAACCAAAGCTTCCATGCACGCGCCGCCAGTGTCACAGGCTGGTCCTGTCTTCTTCTGCGCTTGGCTCGGATGGCTGAGCTGCCAGTGACCTCGTGCTCACAATGCAGGATTGTCTCGGACTCTGAGGGTGGCTTAGCTTCTGTTGTCCGTGATCGAATGCAATGCTGTCCTTCACAGAGGCCCTATTGTTAAGACGCAAACGTGCGGCTGGGAGTCGACACGACCGCTGACTCAGGATGGACCGTCTCTTCCAGCTGTACGTGAAAGCTGGGCAGCTTTTCTCACCGTTTCCTATTTCGGGAAATGCCCAGCGATTCTGGGATACTAAAGTGCTGAAGAGTTTTTAGCCGCGGCGAGGCACCATCGTCGTCTTCAGGCGAAGCGGCGAGGCACCATCGTCATCTTCGGGGGAGCGGCGGGGCACCATCCTCGTCTTCAGGGGAGCGGCGAGGCACTATCGTCGTCCTCGTGGGAGTTGCGAGGCACCATCACCGTATCGAGGAAGGCGGCGAGGCACCATCCCCGTCTTCAGGGGAAGCGGCGAGGCACCACCCCGGCTTCGGGGGAGGCGGCGAGGCAATATCCTTGTCTTCAGGGGAGCGGCGAGCCACCATCCTCGTCTTCAGGGGAGCGGCGAGTCACCATGTCCGTCTTCGGGGGAAGCGGCGAGGCACCATTCTCGTCTTCGAGTCCTAGCCGTTAACCACAGAGAGCTGTGAAGGTGTATGACAGGCTTCTGGAGCGGACTTTGAAGCAGTCTCTTACCAATGCGCGGCGTGGATGCGGCCCAGTTTTTGCGTCGGTCATGGCGTCGCTGGAGGTCAGTCAGCCTTGGGATCTCCTCCCAGCTCTCCAACGGGGGCCACCAGAGCACCCCGCCTCCAAGCGGGCCGTAGCACCACAGCTTCCACGCTACCCCTGCATCGACGAGGGCTTCACAGCCAGCGCTAAACCTTGACGTGCCGTAAAAGTCGCGGGCGTGGTAACGGCGCAATGGCGATCCTCACCTTTCGCGCTGGCGTCAGCCGCCGCCATCGGGCCGGTGTCATCGCAAATGTGTCAAGGGCACGGGCGTGGGCTCGCTCTGACCCGCGTGGGGCGCAGGACCGCGCGCCAGCAGCCGTCCTGCGGCTGCCCGTGTACTGCTCTGGGCCCTGGACACGGGAGCAGGTCCTTCGGCTGTGAATGCCGCCGATCAGTGTGTGCGCTGGCAGAACGCTCCCGTATAACAACTGGCGCACCGCGCGCCGGCGGGGGCCGTGTGCAGTCGCGGCAGCAGAATTAAGACGTCGCGGTTATGACGACGGTCAGACGCGGTGTCATGAGGTGGCACGCGCGGCCTTCGGGCTGGTGCGGGGGCCCAAACGCGAGGCTTACAGGCTATTGCGTGGGCAACGAAGGCTCCCTGGCATGCTGATCAGGGCCGCCCGGAGCTTCCAGTCGCCTCTGATTGGCGTAGTTCTGACCGATGTTGGCTCACCAGCCTCCTCCGCCGCGACGCTCCGGCTGCTGGGAGGGGGCGTTTTATCAGTGAACACATTGATTCATGCGGTCACGTTGTCAGCAAAGCCAGTTTTCGAGGCAGTATCCCATTGTGTATTCTTTTTAAGCCTCGACCCTAATGGTGTTTTTGGTACCAGTTACCGCTAATTTGTGACGTCCTCCGTGACATCACAACGAGACAAATGTTGGCGCTGAGATCCTGGACGAGAGGACTTTGAGGCTGGGGGCGGCGTGTAAACGAAGCAACGTCCGGGCACCACCGTTCAATGCGATGCTGCCGCAGGGGTTGGCAGCGCGGAGACAAAGTAATGATGCATGCTAAGATGTCCCGACCCCTGGCCAGGTATGCCAGCCCTACGCCAGAGGCTGGGATTGGCACATTGCTAGGTGTTCCGAGCCCTGGCCAGGTATGCCGGCCCGTACGCCAGGAGCGCTGGGATTTTACGCTGGGTCATTGCCACGCTGGTGCGATCTGACACGTCCCTTCTCCTGACCGCACCGTGTGCGGCTGTCACAGGCCTCGCCGAGTCCGCCAGTCACGAACGCGTAGCAACTCAGCTCTACACAGGCACGGATTCCGGATGATTGTTTCGCAACTGCTGACAGAGCTTCGTATTGGTTTCAGTTTGGCAACTCAAACGTACATATCTTGTGCTCATATTGGTGGCACTGCAACGGTGTCGTTTTTAGTCCCTTGAAGCACTCGGATGCCGTATGGAGTGCGTTTTTAGTTGTGCTCAGTAAATTGGTCGCCAAATCTGTGCACGCCTCCGCATTTTATCGCCATTTTATCTCTTGCGTGTAGCCAAGTCTTTTGACGCTGCTAGTCAAACCTTTTTGCGTTGTACCTCTGGCCATTTAATGCAGGGGGACTTCTGCATTATAATATTCAGGTTGAAATTAAAGTGGTTATTTTCGTGCATCTGGTGGTTTCTACCTTCCATTTTCGATTTCCTTATATCATATTACATCATAACACTGGTGACTGTGACTTTATCTGTCGCAACTCTATGTGAGGCCAGGACTCGAGACTGCAAAGTATGTGGTGACAATACCATGGCCAGGGACTGCCGTTTGGCGCTGGTCGTCACCCCTGTCGGCAGGGCTGTTCTGGGGGTGTTTACCGTCACCCCTGCCGGCAGGGCTGTTCTGGGGGTGTTTTACCGTCACTCGTGTCGGCAGGGCTGTTCTGGGGGTGTTGACCGTCACTCGTGTCGGCAGGGTTGCTCCGGGGAGTGTGTCGTCACCCCTGTCGGCAGGGCTGTTCTGGGGGTGTTACCGTCACTCGTGTCGGCAGGGTGCTCGGGGTGTTGTCGTCCCTGCCGGCAGGGCTGTCTGGGGGTGTTACCGTCACTCGTGTCGGCAGGGCTGCTCTGGGGGTGTTGACCGTCACTCGTGTCGGCAGGGCTGTTCTGGGGGTGTTGACCGTCACTCGTGTCGGCAGGGTTGCTCCGGGGATGTTGGTCGTCACCCTGTCGGCAGGGCTGTTCTGGGGGGTGTTGACCGTCACTCGTGTCGGCAGTGTTGCTGGGGATGTTGGTCGTCACCCCTGCCGGCAGGGCTGTCCTGGGGGTGTTGACCGTCACTCGTGTCGGCAGGGCTGCTCTGGGGGTTGTTTCGTCATCGTGTCGGCAAGAGCTGCTCTGGGGGTTTGACCGTCACTCGTGTCGGCAGGGCTGTTCTGGGGGTGTGTTACCGTCACTCGTGTCGGCAAAGCTGCTCTGGGGGTGTTGACCGTCACTCGTGTCGGCAAAGCTGTCCTGGGGGTGTTGACCGTCACTCGTGTCGGCAAAGCTGCTCTGGGGATGTTGACCGTCACTCGTGTCGGCAGAGCTGTTTCGGGCGCATTTGCACGGTCGGCACCCATCGTTCGAGCACACGTGGACCAAGACGCGGCAGGACCTGGAGATGGAGACCAACGGCTGGCTCACACAAGCGTGCTCCTGCCTGAAACTCATCCAAGAGAGGTTAGTTCGATTTGATCTTGCCGGGAGCCCACTCGGAAGAGGTCCGGGAAGTTTTTCGAGGACAGGTACATTCAGCGCGTTAGCCTCTGCTCCGCAACACTCGGGCTTAGCACTTAGCTGTCCAAAAACGAGCAAGAAGGCTACCCATCTGCATCTTCCGGTTCGCCTCCTCTTGTTGCCGCACAAACTTTTTACTAGACATTGTTCTCGCCAATGATGATAGATAGCTGAGAGGAGATCGGCTCTAGCTGGCAGGCACTATGGTGGGATTCGTGGACGATGGATCTGCATTTTGAGGAGCTACCCAGCAATGCTTCTGTAACGACAGGCATGCATGTGAACCTCGAAGTGTTTAACCTTGCCATCAAATTAATGTTCGACTGGCTTTATAAGTTGCTCTTCTGTAACAGATTGGGACGCATGGCTGTGATAACGCCGTACCGGGCTGTCGGATGAATTAAAAAAATATATTGGTCTTCGACATAACGCATCACCCAAGATCGGTGTAGAGAAGCATACGTTGTACGGGCGTTCTATGATCAGCTTGCTAATGAGGCGCTGTGCCAGCCGTTGTGATGCTCAACGTGTTTGGAATTCTATTTATTTCCCTCGTGAGATACCGCCCGGTCCGCCCGCGGCCCCGCGAACCCAGGCGTGCCGTCAACATCCTCTCATGAGGCGCCGTCCGGCCCGTCCGCGGCCCCGCGAGCCCAGGCGTGCCGTCAGGCGTCCTCTCGTGAGATGCCGTCCGGTCCGCCCGCGGCTCCTCGAGCCCAGGCGTGCCGTCAACGTTCTCTCGTGAGATGCCGTCCGGCCCACCCGCGGCCCCTCGAGCCCAGGCGTGCCGTCAGCGTCCTCTCGTGAGATGCCGTCCGGTCCACCCGCGGCTCCTCGAGCCCAGGCGTGCCGTCAGCGTCCTCTCGTGAGATGCCGTCCGGTCCACCCGCGGCTCCTCGAGCCCAGGCGTGCCGCCAGCGTTCCCTCGTGAGATGCCGTCCGGTCCGCCCGCGGCTCCTCGAGCCCAGGCGTGCCGTCAGCGTCCTCTCGTGAGATGCCGTCCGGTCCACCCGCGGCTCCTCGAGCCCAGGCGTGCCGTCAGCGTTCTCTCGTGAGATGCCGTCCGGTCCGCCCACGTCGGCTGAGCGGTACTCGAGCCGCGCGCGTCACTTCCGGCACGTCCTGTCGCGGCCCGGGTGACGTCACCGGGCGCCTGGACCTTGGCCGGGGATCAGCGCGGCGTGCTTCTGAAGCCAGCCCCGCTCATCGCCCTGGGAGCAGGCCGCGCTGGGATCACACGCAGTGCTGCATCGGCTCATGGTCCGGCGCACTGGTGCTCCCGCGGCTGGGCGCCGGATGTGGCACGTTGTGAATATTCATGGTCACGATGCGGTGGCACGTTAAATACGCCTGACAGACAAAATGCTGTGGGAATCGGGCGGTTGCCTTGACGGGCCGCTGTGACACGTCGGAGAGCCGATGGCTGTTCCGCGCGTCATGTGTACATGCCATGCCAGGCCCTTCTCGCCGTTGTGGCATGTCTTCCGCAATGCACTTTTTGCTATGACCGAATAAGCGTACGTACGATGCACACTTTCGAGCCATATCAGGCCGAGGCTCTTTTGCCCTTCGGTGCCAGGCTGAGCGTAGGCCGTTCAATGTCACTGCATCAAAGGTTGCTGCGGGCTTCTAAAACATTGGTAGAAAACTTCCAAACCCCTTTCACTACGGGAGCCTGATATCTTGCTTTGAAAGGAGAAGGATTTTGTGCCGCGAGCGCAAGTCTTTCCCACACAGGGGGATCATTGTTAAAATACCGGAATATTTTTTGCAACAGACTGTTCAGCAGGCTCCTGCAAGGAAAACGCAACTCCTGCAAACTTTCCACTAGAAGGATAAGTTAGCTTACTGTTTTGTCGTAATCAGGGATTCGAATTCAGCATTAGACGTTCAGTGGTTGATTGCTTGTAGTGTTGCATCATCATGGTATATTGGGTGCGGTTAGCAAAACAGTTGCATCAAGCGTGCCCAGAGCAGTTCACGCGAACTTGCAGCCAGCCTTAACGCGTTGCCCGTAAAGTCGCCTTAGTCTGTAGCCCCACACTCCTTATACCAAGCCTAATAGCGTCTCAAATGCGGTTGATAGACTGGGAATGCCGCTTCTGAACAGAGCGGACCCGTGGCGCAGATATGCCGCCCGACCGGTGAGCCGGCGGCGGGATGGAGCGGACCAGCAGGCCAGTCAGCCGCAGGGCCGGCCTGCACCGTCGTAATCAGGAACATCCGCCACCGGGGTCGCCGCGGTTGCGTCAGCGGAGCTGTGTGCCCGCCGGCGCCGTGTTGACATGTGACGGCCGATCGCTGACGCCGCTCTCATCCCCGCACCACGGCGGCGGATCCCTGCATCATGACACCGCTCTCATTCCCAGCACCACGGCGGCGACTCCCTGCGTCACTGACACCGCTCTCATCCCGCCACCACGGCGGCGGCTCCCTGCGTCATTGACACCGCTCTCATCCCCGCACACGGCGGTGGCTCCCTGCATCATTGACACCGCTCTCATTCCCGCACCACGGCAGCGCTCCCCTGCATCACTGACACCGCTCTATCCCGCACCACGGCGGCGGCTCCCTGCGTCATTGACACTGCTCTCTTCCCGCATACGTCAGCGGCTCCTGCGTCACTGGTACCGCTCTCATCCCCGCACCACGGCAGCGGCTCCCTGCATCACTGGTACCGCATCTCATCCCCGCACCACAGCGGCGGCTCCTGCTCAATGACACCACTCTCATCCCCGCACGCACGGCGCGGTCCCCCTCATCCCCCCGCACCACGGCGGCGGCTCCCTGCGTCATTGGGGTGCCACCCTGAATGAGGCCGGTGGACGCCATGGGCTCGCGATTTATTTGAGCGGCGTTGGCGAGCTGTCCGCTAAGTGACGGCAGTAGTAGGTTTTATGAGCTGCATGCCATGTGAAATGGCATGCAGCAGTCTGCCATCTGCCAAGTGAACCATCTGACAATCGCAGCGAGATTGACGGCCAGACGTGAACATCCAGTCAAGCCTGGATCAGTATCGGCCTTGACTATCTCATGGCACCTTTAGACGTAATCGATCGTACTTAACTGTACTGGGTTTAAGACCCCGTCGAGTGCTGGTCACCTAATCACCGTGTGACTGGTCACTGTAGCTTGGCTTAACTATGAACAGCGGGTACTGGTTCTGGTGGTACAGGTACTGGTGCAAATGCCCAGTGCCTGTACATCAGATACAGGCGCACTCGGCCAACCAGTACCTGTATGTACATGAGGTACCCGCGCTGGTGTTCTGATTCACCTGGTCTAAACGTGACTGAATGGGGGTCCTTTATTATGACACAGTAGGACAAAACGCCAAGCACAGGACTCCCGGCGTGCGAGGGGCAGTTAGAGGCTCTGGAGGACAGCGCACCCTGTCACTGCGGGAATGTTAAGTGTACATAATACGGCTTTAGTTGTGCACACGGGTCTTAATGTTTTTTTCAGCCTGCACGACACTGGTTCACCGAATGCTTGCGTAACCGTTATTGCAATTCGGTTTACCGTTCAGCAAGACATATCACAAAAAGATCATCTTGCAGAGCAACCTTGATAAGACGCCCCTGGCACTCTCATAATCCTCGTTAAAGCTGCCAGCCATTCTTCCTGGTTCTGACGCTGGCCGTCGCTCTACTGCAGGAAGCAGTGCACCAACGTGATGGTGACGCGGAACATGTTGATGACCACCTTCGCCAAGACGGTGGTCTTCGGCCTGGCTGACTGCTTCGAGCCTGAGAACATCTTCTCAGCGTACAAAGTCGGTGAGTGGTCCAGCGGTGACGGCACCTTTGCAGAGCATGTTGGCACAGATGGATGTTGTGCGCCGATGGTGGCTCCAGCGGCGCTGGTGGGTTTTGGTGACAACATGACTGTCGTCTGTGGATGCCAGTCTCTTGCCTTGGTAGCTGTGGTCACCTCTGGTGGGCACTGCGCTGTGTTTGTTTGGTTGAAATCCACCAATCATCACCGTCGCCGCATGACTAAATTATCTGGCTATGTTTGCGGTGACGGTGATGGGTTTCTTCCTAACGATGGCACAGCAGTGTATTCGCATGACTTTCCCCGTCTGCATCGTACGTGGGGAGGGGCAGACACTGCCTCGGAGGCGCCCCAGCGCAGCTGTGTCAACATACAGGCAGGGGAGGGGGACGAGGGGGGTTGTCTGGAGGCGGCGATCCTGTGCTTCATTCAAGGTGGCCGCTTGCATTTCCTGTTCTCACGTGGTTCGGACGGGCTGCAAGGTCGGCAGAAAGGTGGGCCCGCCTGGCGGAGCAGCGATGCGAAGCTGCCGAAGCTGGCCTGGGCCGTGTGGTTCGCGCCGATGGCTGACATTTGGTTGTCACATCGATGTCAGGCTGGCTGACACGGACCGTAATTTATTTGCCCCGCCATGACAGCCGTGGTTTGGCCTGCGGACGGCTGGATTGGAACACCCATGTGTGATGTCGCAGCTGTATGACCAGTTGATGACGGCACGTGGAGAACAACACACGTCCGACCATAGGTCAGCCAGAGCGCGCTGCACGGCTGAGTGTGCGATGCCCGAAGGCGCCACGCTCGTCACCAAGCTCGTTGGTTGTTACGAGACCGGTGCTTTCGGCTGCCGCAGGATTTGAGAGCTGTCTCAACACGATACGGCAAAAGTACGCCGAGAAACACGGGCGTGAGGTGATCTGCGTGATCATCGGTAAGCCGGACAAGCCAGACAGCCCGAGCATCATCACCGCCGCCCGACAGGTCAGTGACCGCGCGGCACCAGCCTGGCTGCCCGGCAGCGCTGGTTCTGTGGGACCGGGGACAGGGCGCAGAAAGGAGAGAGGCTGCATGCAGCGGCTGCGGAGCTGGGCTTGACCTCATAACCCGTGGTCAGACAGGCCAGCGGATGGGACCGGCCGCTGCTGAAGTGCTCTCCAACCGCCCTTACTAATCACCCAGCGTCTTGCTAGTCTCGAAATGTAATACAAAAGTCAACCGGGTATTCGAAAAGTCCTTTCGCGGCCAACCTACCCTATCCTCTCTGAAAGCTAGAAGATCATAAACTGACCAAAAGACGTGCAGGATGTTCACTGATTTCTTCTCAGTTTCTTATCCCTAAGATGTGGAGACTTGTTGCCGTGATGCTTGTATATTGAAATGTGAATATTGTCAGCATATTACTATATTCGGCGTCACTCAAAGAACCATGACAGGCAGCATTCGGTTCCAGGCATTGGTTGCTATGGGTGCTTGTTGAGATATGCTTTCATCGTTGATTGATTATTGTCTGCATGAGGAAATGTCATTGATGCTGATATAGGGCACATTTGGGGTGCACACGTTGCAGAGGGTCAAGCTGTTAGAGCGAGGCGGCTGTAGGATTTCAAAGCTGTCTGTTACTCTTATAAATAGTGAGTAATAGTTGTAAATATGCTGATGTGTGTCGGTTCCATTAGCGCTTGCAAACGGCTGCTCCATGCACTTTTAATTGAAGTTGCGGATTTGAACGCAAGCTGGGCCTCAAAATGTGACTTGTAATTTATCTCAGAGTGAAAGCATTCAGGGGTTACTGTTCTTAATTCTACTCAGCACACGTTTCTGAAGGCCAGGCAGTGATGATATTCGGAGCCGTAATCGCTGATAGAGATGCGCGTGAATGATTTTGTGAGCAAACGACTGAGTATAACAAAATGCGGGGGTTGCTCAGTGACACCGAGCTTGGCATTATGTGTGATAAATGCGGTCCTTCAGCTACCTAGACCATGAAATCATACGTATGGTCGCTGGACGATGAAATAATGCACTGATGATGGGGTAAGGCGATTTAGAGCCGATTTACCAAGCACTACGTTTCCTCCAGCTGTGACCGTTTGGTATGTTCCCTTTGCAGAGGATGTACTTGGCGCATGCCACTGGTATCCCAGCGATTGGGTACTAACCCAGTGGGAGACAAAACATGTTTGAGTGCGAGACACTGATCATCACAAAAGTGCGAAACATGCAGTACATCGGGAAATGTATGGCTTTATGATTTTGAAGCGCACTTCAAGCTTTTTGTCCTGAGCGGGTAACTAATTTTCGAAACATCCATATTTTGAGGTTGAGCGCGTGCGGCGCCTCGCGCTCCTCGATCGCTCACTGCTCCGACCTTGGCTGGAGTGGCGGGTGTTTTGTCTCACGGACGGAGCCGGCGGCGGTCGTGCTCGAGTTGGTCGTTTCTTCAGCGGTGACCGACGACCGATCAACGGCGGAACCTTTCACTGGCGCGCTGACAGCCGATAGTGCGATGCGGCGAGACGGGCCGGTGCCGTGACGGAGGCGGCAAACAATGGCTGACGGGCGCGGCCACAACACGACGCGGGGCGAGCGTGGGGCGTCGTGGCGCTCGCGTCAAGATGCTGTCAGCGCGTCACCTTGACCACGGCAGTGCGTCGCCGTCGGCAGCGGGATGAGGGTACTGTCTCAGTGCTTCACTGCGGATGTTGGAAATGACGCCAGTACGTCACAAAGATGGAAGGCGTAGTAATAAAGTGTTGCACTGATGAAGAGGAAATAGCGGTGCCATACACTGAATGAAAAGGCCGGAGTGGTGCCGAAGCGGCGAGTGACAAGCGAGTGGCGCTGACTGAAAGGGACCGTTCCGGTGGGCCTCATCAACCGTGGAGCGACCACACAAACGCGCCAGCACTGTACACTGGCAAGAAGTGAATGTGCCAGTGCGACTCACTGACTGGAAGGTGAGAGGGTGAGAGCGGCTGCTCATCACACTTTTGGAGGCGTAGGGGTATATCCAGTAATTTTGGTCGGGGGGGGGGGGGTATTTAAGTCAAAAATTGGCACTATAGAAAAACTCCCAAGCTACGCGCACCTTGACAAGCGACCGCCCTCTTAAGACCAACAGCGCGACGAGTGCCCTCTGAAGACCAACAGCGGGACGAGTGCCCTCTGAAGACCAACAGCGCGACGAGTGCCCTCTGAAGACCAACAGCGGGACGAGTGCCCTCTGAAGACCAAACAAGCGCGACGAGTGCCCTCTGAAGACCAACAGCGCGGAAGAGTGCCCTCTGAAGACAACAACGCGAAGGTGCCCTCTGAAGACCAACAGCGCGACGAGTGCCCTCTGAAGACCAACAGCGCGACGAGTGCCCTCTGAAGGACCAACAGCGCGACGAGTGCCCTCTGAAGACCACAACAGCGCAGCGCGACGAGTGCCCTCTGAAGACCAACAGCGCGAAGTGCCCTCTGAAGACCAACAGCGCGACGAGTGCCCTCTGAAGACCAACAGCGCGAAAGTGCCCTCTGAAGACCAACAGCGCGACGAGTGCCCTCTGAAGACCAACAGCGCGACGAGTGCCCTCTGAAGACCAACAGCGCGACGAGTGCCCTCTGAAGACCAACAGCGCGAAGAGTGCCCTCTGAAGACCAACAGCGCGAAGAGTGCCCTCTGAAGACCAACAGCGCGAAGAGTGCCCTCTGAAGACCAACAGCGCGACGAGTGCCCTCTGAAGACCACAGCGCGACGAGTGCCCTCTGAAGACCAACAGCGCGAGTGCCCTCTGAAGACCAACAGCGCGAAGAGTGCCCTCTGAAGACCAACAGCGCGACGAGCGCCCTCTGAAGACCAACAGCGCGACGAGTGCCCTCTGAAGACCAACAGCGCGACGAGTGCCCTCTGAAGACCAACAGCGCGACGAGTGCCCTCTGAAGACCAACAGCGCGAAGAGTGCCCTCTGAAGACCAACAGCGCGACGAGTGCCCTCTGAAGACCAACAGCGCGAAGGGTGCCCTCTGAAGACCAACAGCGCGAAGAGTGCCCTCTGAGACCAACAGCGCAACGAGTGCCCTCTGAAGACCAACAGCGGGACGAGTGCCCCGGACGAGATGTAAATGTTGAGCAGCAGGAGTTCCAGGCGCTTACCTGGTTGCTGTATCAAAAGTCTTGGCAGCTCCTTCTTTTCGTTCCAACTTAACAGCCAGATGTGAAGCTTGGACCGTACGACCGGCACGGGGTCCCGTAACCGTGCGCATCGCTCCCCGGTCGGTTCCAGTGCCGACCAGCTCTTCACGCTCTCCGGAAGAACTCTCAGAGCCTGAGGGACTACTGCTGCGGCTTCCCAAAGCGGTCGTGGAGCTGGCTGAGCATGCTGGCTAGCGGGGAAAGAAGCAATTTATCCTGAAGTACTGGGCAGCATCGAAGTAATTGCCTCCGCCGACTCGTGGTACACTGATCTTGTCACGCTGCGGGGAGTAGCGGCACCGATTCGAAGGACCCGACCCGAAGGACGAAGGACCAGCTGTCTCCGCTGCCTTGTCCATCACGGACCCAAACATCTTCTCTGGCCTCGGGGCTCGGGATGTCCCTTTGTACTTCCGGCGTCCATCCGTAACATATTTTCAGACGGCTCCAGCGCCCTTTCAGTCGTCGGGGGTGCCCGTTCCCCCACCTTCCTAAGGTTTGGGGCATCTTTTAGTGTTCATGTCAATAAAATATCGTGGCCCCGTTCGGGTTCGTGCCGATAGCCCCTCTATAGGCGCCGTTGTTGGGGTGGCGAAGGAGCCAGGGGCCTCTAAGGTCGCTAATGTTTCCAGATCGGGGGGGGGGGGGGTGCGCGCGCCTCCAGTGGGGATGTGCATTCGGTGTCCTCTCCCCCGCAACCACCCCAGTGAGGCGACCGTGTACGGGGCATCGGATCAGACGTCACCAGTGCGCCGATGCGCCTCACCGACCGAGATGTGGCCGTGCCATTGCATCACACGTACTGAAGCTGGCCTTACCCGTGCGTCACGCTGACTCCAGAATGGCATGCTGAAGGAGCACGCGACCAAAACCGCAGCGTTTCTGTGCTCCCAGCAGCCGCAGCGCCGTGTTCGTGACCCCCGGCGCGCGCGCGGGGGGCGGGAGAGGCCGGCTCACCGCGGCCGCCCCCCGCTCCTGCGCCGCGCCTCGTCCCGGCCGCGCCCCGAGCAGCCACGCCGCGCAGCGGTGCGACATCGCTGGCCGGATTGGCCGGCCCGCGGGCCTGCCGTGCCCATACCAAGCAGGCGGCTGGCGGACTGGCGGCGGGCGGGCAGCCCGGCCGCTGCAGCCTCGCCCTCAGCGCGCGGATCCGCCGCGGCCAGCGCCGCGGCCGACTCCCACGTGTCTGCCGGGCTGCGTGCGGGCATGTCGGGTGCGGGACGACAATTACAGCATGCGAGGAAGATGGGCGCGGCTGGTGGCGGCGCCCTCCCCCCCCCCCCCCCCCCCCGCGTCGGTTGGCGGGCCCAGTCGGCTGTGCGCCGCCCAGTTGACGTGATCGAACGACGCCAATTGTTCTTGTGCTCGGTTTGCGGCGCCGCTCAAAGAATGCGGCGGTGGCCTGGCCCTGACTGGCGACCCTTGCCCCCCCCCCGCGCGGGACCCCCGTGGCGGCCGCAGCGGCCCGGGTCGGCGGGGGCGCCGCCGGCCCAACGCCGCGCCGACCGCCGTCGACTCCGACACCGCGCCGGACGGCTGTGCGGCGTCGGTCGCGTGTGTCGAGGCCGACACCCGAGGCTGCCAGTCTTCTGGCGCTCCCCCGTCCGCCTCCCACCGTCCGATGCGTAATTCAACTGCAAATTCGCAGGTATTGTTATTGTGGGTGCCTTAATGGCGGCACCGAAGGCCGCGACCGTGAACCCGCGCCAGCCCGGGCCGGCGCGCCGTGTGTGACCGTGGCTCGCGCCGCTGGCCGGCGGTGGTGCGGAGCAACGGGCGCCCGGCCGCGCCCGGCAGCACCTCGTCTCCACCACCCAGTCTGTTCCGGCCTGCTCACTGGTGCCGAACGTCGCCCGGCTCTGTGGGCAACGGCCAGTTGGCGTGCCTTACGAGCCGCTGCCGTGCAGTTTTACTCCCGGACATTGTGTGGCAACCTCAGGGCTGCTGTCAACTCACGTCCAATGCGTATGGTTCCCAATGATCTGTTTATTTCGCTCCCTTAGCCACGGTAGGAGGCGTCGGCTAGACCGTTGGGTACGATCTCAATTATCAACGAGTTTTACGATGGGGGAGCGGTCATCATGACAACGGGGCTGAAATGCTATCCGAAGGCCGAGGTGTTAGACAGGTCATCTCAACAATCCCTGCAGTGAAACCGAAGCGCAGTCTACCCGTATCTTGGCTTCTCATGCCCGTCCTGAATCAATCTTACCCATCATGTAATAATGACCGGTTTGCCAAAAACCATCAAAAGATGGATGGCCAGCTCTCACCACGCGTGACGTTGGCGTCGTTGCGAAACGATGCCCACACATCTTGTTCGGGACACCGCCCAAAAGGCAGAGCGCGATCGGCACACATTAACATGGGGGCCTTGCGTGGCTCAGTGACAACGCTTTCCGGTCTGTGAAACCAAACCCAGCCCCAGCCCCCACTCGCATTGGGCGAGGTGTCGACTTCCCGGTGAACAATGTCGCCACCTGCGACACCATCGCCGGCGTGGTATGGGGCTTCAGGGTCCCGCTCGGGGCGGTGTGATCGGTGGTCGCGCACTATAAACATGAACTTCAGGGCGGAACAACCCAACTTTGCATAATTGAGCATAACAGATTTAGACGGTACAAAAAATGTAGCACTCTAAAGAAAACTGCTAGCTTCGAGCACGACATAACCCCGTCCTGATACGAGGAGGGAGGGGTCGATGTGATCCCTTAAGCTTTTTCAGGATGCCTTTCCGGCACATTGTGAAATCGCACCCAAATTTTCAGTATCCTCTGGGGTGTTCATCGCGGGTGGTTTGACGCAACAAACTTGTACCTAGTTTTTTTGGTTTCGGAGCAGCGGCGGTTTTTGAGGAACATCGCGCGGCGGTGCGCAGCTTCGTGCGGCCGCTGAGTGATAACCGACGCGGCGGGCCGATTTTGTTCCATTCACGGAGCCATCTCATAGATATATGCTCAGAGACACAAAGAAAGCAAAAACACAGAGCGCTGCCAAGTCTTTTATGTGTGATTGCGTTGGCTCATACCTTAAATGCATGGATGCGATTGAGTGTTTTTTATCCCATATCTCTTTCCGTTGTTTTTGGATACCGTTTCATCCCTGAGACTGATGACACATAACAGCCACGTGTGCATGTGCAGCGTCAGCTGATATCAAATACAAATAGAAATGAAAATATTCACCATCGCACCACAAACTGAACAAGAAACCCACCTGTTCAGGTTTCGTGTCGGCGCACGCGAGGCATGACCTCGTATTCACGATGAAGCTGGAAAGGTGCGATTTTCTGGACAATATGCCCTTTAACTGGCATTATGGAGCCAATTATTTGCCAAACGGTATAACAGCTAGTGCCAGTCGCAAGATCCCATTGCTAGAAATCCATTGTAGTTTTATTCTAAGCTCTTTCGTTATTACTCTGTAAACCCCAGGGCGTTTCGAACCCTCCCTTTCAGTCCCCGTTACGGGAAACGGCGGATCAGAGCGAGAGTTAGGACTCTTGGTGGAACTTCGAATGTTGTGAAAACGTGCGTTGACCAATTTATAACATTTTCAACAGGTTAGAATCGTTGTACGGCCTATTATTATTCGTCCCTTGGGGAGCCCCGCTGCGGCCCCCATGCTCAGTCCCGAATGCACACGGTTGGATGTTTGATCTTTATTGTCTGGGAATGCGCCCGTCAGCGACCAGGTCCGGTTGCCGTATGCTAATGGCCGCTCATTTAGATTCGCATCACAGATGAGATCGCCGCAGTCACATCTGCACATCCGGAGCAGCGTCCCTGCTGCGGCCGTCGTAGGACGCGCGTACCGCCGGCGACCAGTGCAACCTGTCCCGACTCCCCCGACCACGGCCGAGATTTCATCTGGGAACCGGCGCAGGGGAGAGGTGGGGGCGTCGCCCGAAGCTGGGAGCGCCACACGCGATAGCACCTCGCGATCCGCCAGCGATCGGTTAGCCGAAGTGTCGTGCATAGCTCACGTCGCCGTTCGATTGCCCCGGTGAATTACTCAGGTGATCGGGCGGAGCCGGCGGTTCGCGTACGGGCGGCGAAGGCCTTCTGGAGAAACCGGTGCTCTCAGCCTTGGATCGATTCGCCGAGGGGTTCCAGCGCTGTGGCTGGAGCGGGTTGGCCTCAGTCCGATCGGTGCGAAACGGCGCCGACCGTGAGTTATGCAAGCCGCTAGGCAAGTGTGAAAAGGCCGCACCCCGGCCGGCCAGCCGCTTGCCTATCTGCGGCTAATCGGAGGCAGGTGTCGCTCGGGGCCGCGCAAGCCTCGCGGCGTCGGCGGCGATGACTTGCCAGACTGCGGCGGCGGCGGTTTGGCTGCCACGCCAAGACCAGTGGTCACTGTCTGTCACTGTCTGTCACTGTCTGTCACTGTCTGTCACTGTCTGTCCTGGTGCGGAACAGATAAACAATCTGCCGAATGTACTTAGATACCGGAGGAGAGGTACGGGTGGGGTGGGATGGGGCATGGGCTTGGGATCGTAGGCAACGAGGGGATGGGCTTGGGTTCAAGTTCGGCAGCACAGTTCCGCATTTAGTTCCGGTCGCCAGAAGCGATATTATTTCAAATTTGTTCATAACTGTTGCAAGACAGGGAGCGACCACTCCACCGTGGCGCCTCGTCGCGGCTCGCGGCGGCTGCCGGTCACGATGCCCGATTCTGGAGGGGGAGGGGGAGGGCACGCCAGCACACATAACCGGCACTAAGCCGTGCCGGGTGACCAGGGCCGCACCCCCTCCTCGTACCCGACAAGCCGGCTCGTAAAGCTGTGTTTATAGTGGAAGACCAGTCTCGGCGAGCGACGGCCCTTTTGTCGGCGGGCGTTGTGAGACGCCCTGGCGGTACGCTCCAGCGTCCAGGTGGCGCTCGGAGCGAGGCGCCGTCCCCCGCGGCGGCCGCACCCCTCCCCTCTCAGAGGAACCGGCGGCACCCCGCAAGCCGCCGGCGAGTCGGGCGGCGCGTCTCATCTCACTATCGCATTCGGTTAGCTTCGCTGGCTCCTGACGCCGTCGCTTGGAAGGAATCCCACGCCGTGATCCGCTGAAATGGAGTGATTACGGGCCAAGCTCGCCGCCTGGGGTGCTGCTGTGATGGCTTGCTCGGAACCAGATCTTACGGTGGTGGTGCACACCTGTGATGACATGACAGGGGCACAACTCACTGTGTTGACTGCCAGCTGTATGGGTCATAGGATGTTTAAGGCTAGGTATGGTTTGCCTGACGTGCCTTTGCATAAGAATCGTTACATGCCTCCGCCTTCTTTAATGCCCTGCCCTAATTTCATGACGAGTTTAAGGCGTCGCTTCGGGAGTCAATCAGCTGAGGTCTCTTTTATGGCCCAATACAGTTACAATATCGACGCATATTAGCGACCCAGCTCTCGCTTGGATGTGTTCGTATGTGCAGATTCTTGGGAAGCCGGTATCATGTGAGGGTGTGTCTCATTAGGTCTTATGTGGAGGTTCTTGGGAGGCCGGTGTCATGCGGGGATGTGTTTCGTTAAACCGTATGTGGAGGTTTTAGGAAGGCAACATCATGTGAGGGTGTGTTTCACCAGCTATCACCCAGGTTGAATGATTGCAATTGCACAGAATATCACAAGACATTCCTGTCAACACGTGTCAGTTATGTTATTTCCCACATGTTATCCAGGTGCTATGGGTGCGTTCAGTGGGCCGCGCCCCGTGCATTGCCCCTTATACAGGTGCGACATATTACCACGGCCATGTTTTTTTGCGACACGGGGTTATTTTTTACCAGTTTTATACATAATTTGTGTTTCGTCCTAAGAGGGAAAATATTCCATTAGAATTTGAACCTTCACCTTCCTTAGAAGTTCTTCCCTGCTTTCTCCAAAGCGGTCAAGGCCTTTTGTTTCAACATGGCAACTACGCACGAAGACGCCTTTTCATTCTCTTTACTTGGCGGTCAAACTGACTGTAATTTTCACTTTCCAGCTCTATACTGCACCTATTCCAATCCTTCAGCCGACACGCCTCAGTTTCCAAGGCACTGAACGTGTGAGTGAACTCCGAACAGAGACATCATCTGTTTATCTTTTTCAGTTTGGCATGCCGTACTTCCCCATCAATTCGGACAAAGATCTCCTCGCACTGAAGTTCTTCCTTCAGTGCGGCTACATGTAGGCTGCTGTGGAACCGACGGGTGAACATTGAGGTAAGCCCTGTTGCGGATCATCACGCGACACGGAGCAGCAAGTTAATGTCACGCGTATCTGGTGCACATCTTTAGCGATCCGGGTCGTTACTTGTAGAACATGAAGGCAAAGACGATTGCAAGGCACCAGTGGACATCGCTGCTCATTAGAAACATTGCAGAATTGTAGCGCTGATTTTTCGACATAAATGTAGGGCACATGCGGACACTGCCAGATGTTTTTCGCTCTCTTCTCAATATGAATGTCTCAAGTTATTTCCTTACTGTACCCCCGCTGCTAGCTCAGCTTATTTCCTTACTGTACCCCCACTGCTAGCTGAGCTTATTTCTCTACTATACCACCGCTGCTAGCTCAGCTTAGTTCCTTCCTGTACCCCGGCTGCTAGCTCAGCTTATTAGTGTGATGTGCGCCCTGACAATGCACCTGCTTTAGATGTCCCCTTTTTGACCTCTCATTCACTTTTTTCCTGTTCACTTACTCTGTCACGCGAGCAATGCGCCTGCGGCAATGTCTACCCCCGATGCTCTAGGTCGTTCCGATCTTTGATGCGAACATGTCTCGAACCAGTGCGTAACAGAACTCCTGCGTTTGCCCCATGAATTTAGCTGCTTCAATGCCAATTCCAATCAAACCCGGTTCCTATGTTTTGTCTTCTATCATTGTGCACCATCATAAAGCGAGCCATGATCATGACGGCACATGCGCCATGTTTGGACAGTCCTGTTCTGTCGCTGTGTGTCCGCGCTATGTCGCGTTGGTTTGCAGTGGGCAGCGTCAGCGACTGACGTGTTTCGTGACGTCTGCAGGCGCCTTGCTGGCTGGATCTGCGCTCCGCCGGCGCCCCGGCCGCCTGTGACTCGCGTGGACCCGTGGCCCGTGTAGTCCGGTGTTGAAGCGCAGTGGACTCGGTGGCCTCTGTCCACAAAACTGGCGCTGGCTCCTGGAGGCCGCCGGGGCCCGCTGTCGGCCTTCGACTGCGCATGCGCTCGGCTGGGGAGGCCCCATCCGGAGCCCGCCCGCCGCAGGACCACGGACTGTGGCGTGTCCGTCGTCCCCATCCCCGGCTGGTCCCGCTGCGGAGGACCACCCGTGGGCAGCTGGTCCGTGTGGTCCGGCGGAGGTGGTCCCCGCATGGAGGGCCGGAGCGGGGTGCCGGGCGCCGCCTGGAGAGCTGGAGGGGTGTGTCGGGCGCCGCCTGGAGAGCTGGAGGGGTGTGTCGGGCGCCGCCTGGAGAACCGGAGCGGGGTGTCGAGCACCGCATGGAGAGCCGGAGCGGGGTGTCGGACGCCGCCTGGAGAGCTGGAACGGGGTGTCAGGCGCCGCCTGAAGAGCCGGAACGGGGTGTCGGGCGCCGCCTGGAGAGCTGGAGCGGGGTGTTGGGCGCCGTCTGGAAGGCTGGAGCGCGGTGTCAGGCGCCGCCTGGAGAGCCGGAACGGGGTGTCGGGCGCCGCCTGGAGAGCCGGAGCGGGGTGTCGAGCACCGCATGGAGAGCCGGAGCGGGGTGTCGGACGCCGCCTGGAGAGCTGGAACGGGGTGTCGGGCGCCGCCCGGAGAGCCGGAGCGGGATGTCGGGCGCCACGGCCACACCACACGTCCTCTGTACATAGGTAGTCGTGCTGTTGATCGGTGTATGTGAACGTGCGCGTGCGACCGAGGCGACCGAGGCGACCGAGGCCGTGTCTTTTACGGAGGCTGTTTGGCCGAACAAACTGCGCTGATGTCTGGGCGGCCCTTCGGTCCGGGAAAACCCTGGGGGTTGGCGACCAGAGCCGGCCAACGCCAGGCCACTGCTGTGTAACTAAGTTATTGGAGGACGTCTTGGTTATTGTGATACTGTGTAGCCGGTCGCGTTTGCCACGAGAGCTATATTGGAGTTGTCTGTCACTCTCAGTTTCTTCGGCGCTGTCCACCACGCTAGCTGTTTTTAGCTCTAAGTCGTCGACACTCCTTGGAACAGGAGAGCCCCCATGAGTTGTTTGCGACCGTTGTTTGGCTTACACGCTTCATTACGTAGGGTCATGCCTGTACCCGTGCCCGTAAAACTTGTGTGAACCAGCAGTTCGAGCCTTGTAAGTCTTTTTGGCTAGCATGACGTGAAATCGCTTAATTCCAACGTCTCCATGTCATGCCTAGTCTGGTGGGGCTCGGATTAAGACATCGTGATTACCGGCGACGAATGGCGATAATCGAGCCCAGCTGCACAGAGCGAGACGGCGGCGGAGTCACCGCGTCTCAAATGACGTTGCGATGGTCAAAGCACACACACCCTGTCCTCTCATGCTGCTTTGTTATATTTTTACCATTGCTTGTGTTTGGCAGATCAGGGTTTTAACAAAGTAACTTTTATCTTTTATAAGCTTGAAATGGCTGTTTGATCTTGAAATGTTATGGTCCCATACTGTAACATATCCCACTGTGTGTATATGCCAACATGAACGTGCAGAGCTGAGCGTGTTTGCGCACCGCTGGAGGATAATGGAGATGACCAGGAAGTGTTAAGTTAATTGGTCTGGCTTGGTTCGAGCTATTTCTGTTAGCAAAATCCGTTGGAGGACTATGGGATTGGGGAGATAAGGATGCGTTGTGGGGCAGTGCTGCGGGTATCGCAAGCCGTCGTCACTACAGAGTCCACCCTGCGCGGGGAGCCGTCTTCAGTGCGTGGGCAGGTGCCCGGGCGAGACACCCTGAGCGGGGACCCGTGTTCAGTGTGTGAGCGGGTGTCCGAGTTGGCCACCCGGAGAGGCGGTTCTTACACCGGCTCATGGGTGACATCTCCATGGCGGCTTTCCTATCTGGTAGGAGGCTGCGAGGATTTAAGATAACATGGTGGGTCGGGAAAACAGGGTGAATGTAATGTGTTTTTAGCTTCAGTTGAGCTGACATGCTGACTGCCCGGACGTGCCATTGCCGACTGTGATAAAGTGGCTGCCCCGGAGACATCTCTACTCAAATGGACAATTTTCGTCTTTAACCAAAAGCCGCTCTCGCAAAAGTGCGACGCACCAGCTGATGTCCTTGCATAGCCCATCAGCATGCTAGAGTCCTCCAGGAGCCACGTTCGGGCAGCTTTGCCTCGCCGCCGCACAAGCTCACAACAAACCATCGCGGGTCGGCGGAGAGGGCCGGCAGCCGCTCGGCCGCGGGAAAACCCACAGCGTGAGCCGCTGCTCGGGTCGTGGAGTGTGGCCCGGCCGCACTGCCGGATCAGCGGAGGCGCCCCGGCCGCCGCCGCCGCCGTGCTTGCTCACGCGGCTCTCATGGCCTTCGCGGCTGTCGCGATCCGGCGGTGGCGCGGAGGATTTACTGGCGTCGTCACGGCCGGCTGGCGGTGACCTCTGCGTGGTGGGCCAGCCGGCTGGCGGTGACCTCTGCGTGGCGGGCCAGCCGGCTGGCGGTGACCTCTTCGTGGCGGCACGGCCGGCTGGCGGTGACCTCTGCGTGCTGGGACGACCGGCTGGCGGTGATCTCTGCGTGCTGGGACAACCGGCTGTGCCTGAGCTGCCAGGGCGGGGCGCCAGCTCCGTGCCGGCCATGGCGTGCCGCCGACGAGGTGGGGCTGGAGGGGCTGCGCGAAACCGCTCGCCGCATGTCACTGATCACACCTAATCACGTGCTTCATGAAACACCCGAGAAACAAAAGGACTGGCGGCAGGCCCGGAGTGACGCCATCCGCACGTCACGACCTCGGATGGATGCCTCCGCTGCTGTCTGGCGGCGGCAGCAAAGGCCGGCTTTCATCAGATAAACTCACGAATTGGACGATTTTGGTCTGTATTCCGCGGACTTCGGTGTGTGCTAAATCCTCTTAATGGGACGCATCGATCGCTCCTGTGCAAGATAGCGAACGCGATCGTCGACACACACACGCCTGCAAGAACCAGACTGCAGGGCATGGCACGCTTTCGATGCCTTTGTAATACGCTGTCCGGTTCCCCTTGGACCGAAGCCGGTTTCACCGCGCAGGTACGTAATGCGAGTCATGCTGTGAGGAAAATGCCGCACTTTTGGCAGGCAGCTAAGACGCTGCAATTTGTACAGAAAACTGCAGGCAAGCGTTGTCATTCTTCGTGCAACATTGTAAACAAAGATCAGCGTGTCCGTTTAGAGATAAAACAGTTGTTGAATGATGCCAATCAATGAACTTTGCACGTTATGGCCTACAGGGGAGATGTAAAGTATGCCATCGTGTTATATCAGTCTTGGTGGCAGATAACGCGCGATTAATGCAGTTCGATTAGGTGCAAACACTAGATTTGACACTCTCGCACCGACTCTTGCATCTTACGAGTATCGAATTTGGCGATGAGTTCGGTATGAAATCGTGCTTACTCCCTTGCCTGTCCGTCAGGTCTACACATCGCTTCACTAACGCCTCTGTGGACCTCCCTGCGTCTGGCCCATCCCCTCCATCGACTCCTGACGACCTTCCGCCCTATTCCCTCACACCTTCGCCATGCGCCTGCGCACGCCCTCCTGATTCCTCTGCCGATCAGCTCCGCAAGTCTGACTTGACCTCCGACCCGAGCCCTCGGGCGTGCTGCGGTCAGAGGTCATGCCCGCCGGCAGCGTCGCGCCCGGCGCATTGACCCTTGTCCGCGGTATGCGGCGGCGCGGCACCTCGCCCCAATCGTATTCGTCTGCCGCCGCGCCGCCACGACCGGTTCGCGGGACGTTCCCAGAACGGGCACGGTTTGCGGCGCGTTCCCAGAGCGGGCGCACCCTTGTATGGCGTCAGGATGCCTCAATACACTGCATTGCCCACGGGGCGGCGCGAGTCTGACTCACAACATGACTACACATGGGGTGTGGCCTGTGTCACTGCCGGGCTCAGAACGTGCACGCGTCGTGGAAACCCGGAATGAGCAGAAAAAAGGTAAATAGTTTTATCTCGGAGCTATGCGAGTGTCCATGAGTTATAGTACAGGCCATTTCGAGCCGGCGCGTTGTGCTGATCCTGAGGACCGTGACCCCGTTACCTAAGCGGCAGGAACTCCTTTGGATTGGCTTTGGAACTTTCTATGACCATCTACTTTGGAAGTATTCATTCGTTTTGTTTTGTGCTTCCGCTACTTCCTCATACCGGCGCGGTTGTAGTGAGGTTAGATGCCAGCATCTTCTCTCAATAAATGGCCTGGAGTTCGGGAGGGGGGGGGGGGGGGTTGTCGAAAGTGGGGACGATTCAAGCCCCCAGCGAACCAGTGGGTTTAATTCCACCCGAACCATTGTTTTCTTCTTACGAGGATTATAAAACCTTGTTGACGGGTTGCCATTTAGTGGTGATTGCATGACACAGTCCAATTCCCAGTACAACTTGGCTAGCAGGTCGGGCCAAAGCCATCTGGCAGCTCGCTGACGTGACTGCCACAGGAGCGCCGGGATGGATGGCCGCGCAGCAACCCATGCCTGGCGAAGAATCCGATCCCAACGTCTCCAGTGTCTTGACATGGGGTATAGTTGCAATCTGCTGTGAATTGCAGTTAGGGTCACGCACACCACTGGTTATGATCTATTATCGTTGTTTTTTGTCGTCCGTTCTACCTTTGCTTCAATATCGGCGTGAAGTTTTCTCTACGACATGCGCTGTACCGGCCGCCAGTTCATGCATGGCGTACTTCGCTGCAATCTATTACTCATACATGACGTGCGTCAAAGAGTGGTGAACGCCTCGTACACGTTAAAGGCGTGGGTTTAGTACCGTTGAACCCACGTCCTTTAAAGGAAGACTCTCAACGGAAGGCCGCTGGCAAAGCCATGCGCCTGTTATCGCCGTTTTTGTCCGTGGTAGCTGGGTTTCGACGTGCTGGTACTCCCTGGGGTAGTTACTAATTAATCGTGTGCTTTAAATGGTAGATAGCCATGTATTCGACACATGAGGGATTAGTGTCGTTAATTCTACACTATATGGCAAAACAGCACAAGTACTGCTGTGCATAATTTGCTATGTGCAATTGCGGGCAACATTGTGCATAGAGATAAGACTGTGCTGTCAGCATTATTCCTCCTAGAATAGCCAGGAGAAAGGGTACA